TGATTTTATCTTTATTATCTCCGGAGACAATATACCTGTATATATAAACGTGATGATAACACTATAATGGTGGCGTGTTTCATTAGGGTGTACTTTAAATGTCTTATTTTGTACAAACATGATAACAAAATATAATTAATCAAAAGTCAAGAACACAAACTATAATTTTTCGATCACTTGTATATTTTTCAACAGTCGTTCATAAGTAAACTATTACTATTAATTTTATAAAATTAATAAGTAACTGTTGAGATTAAAAAAAAAGGCTATGGAGGTTTAAACCCCCATCTAAACAAAAGAGATAACATATTTTATATTAACAAATTTACGATAACTTCAAAATAGACCTCCGGTCATAAACAAATAAACCATAAGTCAGAATTTTAATTACGCACGATAAATTCAACAATTTTCTATAGAATTATTGTAGGTAATTTTATTTATGATCACTAGAGTACGGATTTTGAAGGCATTTGCTTTTATTTTTCTATTGCTCTAAAACGAAGCTATGCCGGCTATAAATTCGATTTATATTATTTAGAAGTAAACGCACGAAATTTTATTTTGATTTTTTTGAAAAATACATATCGTATACACTTGCCACATCAATATAATATCATATATTGATCAGTGATCACCATATATTAATCTAACATAAATTGTACATTTATGCTAAATTAAAATATGCACCAAATTACTATCATTATCTAATCATACAAAGAAACAGTTTGTAACCAAGATAGTATTAATTATCAAACTGCATGTATAATGTAAATTATCATATGTTTTACAGTAGTTAGTACAAAATAATAATAACAATACCTTTTCATCCATTTTATTTAACATTGTCATTTATAATTGTGTTAGTATTGTAATTTATTGTTGTTGTTAGCATTATGTGTTTAAATCTATTTAATTTATAAAATAAACTAGGTAATTTAATTATTTAATGTTTCTAACTAACGTGTCTTATTAAGCCGCATATAACATGAATAAATGAACCAAACCAATAGTGGAAATGGCTGAAGATTCTTCAAATATATGTAAGGAACGATGTAAAATGTAAATGTAAATTTTTAGATTTAAAAATTTAGATTTTTTTTACACAGCTTATTAGGGTGGTCCTTAACCAACCAAAAACTCGTGCCTCCCCCGAAATCTTTTCCAAATAGATAAAAAAAAAACATGTCCAGATTTGAGCATTCTATCTTAATAGTAAGGGGTGCTACGGAGCACTTAGTGTTTACATTAAAATAACGTGGAATTTAAAAAAAATCTTCGATAACTTTTTTTTCAGATATCTAAAAATTATGGAAAAAAATACAAAGCATGTGTTTGTTAGACTATAGTTTAACTATAGTTTATGTCGACATTTGTTTACAGTTCCAACAGAAAATCTCATGCATCGATAACGAAAATTATTCAGTTAAATCGATTTAGATTTAACCGATATAATAATCCAGATATTATAATGCATTATGTAGATTTTTATTTAAATTGTAGGACCATTGGCAACCACTGATACTATGTCGTTACTTTTTTTTGTCAGATCAATAATAGAATTTATAACATTTCTGCGATTGATAAAGAAAATTCTATCCGAAAATAAAGAACCAAATGTTATAATCGAATTAGATTATTAAATGATTTTAATAATAAGACCATTGTTTTTTCAAAACCCGATTTCTAAATTACAGCGACGCTATTTTTTTAATTCTTTTATAGTGAAAAGTAATTCGGCCATGATAAGTAATAATTGGTTTTGAGAAAAATCCACATAATAAATGCACGGAATCCGGATTCTATCGGCTAAATCATTTTTTCTTTCAACTGAATAATTTTCGTTTCCGTTGGATGAGAATTTTTGTGGTGGCTGTAAACAAATTTTGACATAATCCAACCGTAATATTTTGGCGATTTTTTCGTACCGCTGAATATAATTGTAATATAAGGAGCCTTTCTACGCACGTTTCGGTTGGCTTTCCAGTTGGCTGTCCGTACGCAGCACCTGTATAGAAATCAGAAATCTACTTGTAAATTACCGTGCTTTTCCACGTGTTCGCAGTTTACAATAGCAACTCAGTTGTTACCCATTCTACAACTGCCAGAGGTAAACACCAGATTACACTAGTTATTACGTATTATTATTAAACATACATATATAGAGTATATTATAGCCATCGCAATCGTTGTAATTACAAACTATGCTTATTATTTGTTGTCGTGTAAGGGCCACGCCCAACTAATTATTAGCATTCAACGAGATGCTCCCAGTTGAATTATTTTATTTTATTAGTATTTTTTTTTCCTATACGTTTCACGTATAATTTTACATTTCTACACGAAATTATTTACATAATTCTAAAATAAACTGAAATGTACGCGCGGTTTAAGCAAATAAAATCGACGACGACGCGCATTTTTATTACAGATCATTACGTTAAATGCTCTCGGTTTACATCATCACGACATAGAAGTTTTTTAAGTGCATTAACAGGGCAGTCACTCGTACAAATATACAGTGGCATAACAATATATTATAAACATAAAACGTTCTGTGCACTGCGATATTACGAGTGTTTTACATACACGCAAAATAGTTACAATAATATTTTTGCTTTTAAAAGTCAAAACTGTATAGGAACCGGTAGTTTTCTTAACAATAGGGAAAACCAGAAATAAACGTCGGTAAACGGGCAAATTTACGTGATGACGTTTGTTATTTTATTTTAAATCGGTTGAGAAAAAAAAAAAAAAACTTGAAATCCTTAATAATTTAAGGCTAATACTCATGTTAGACTCTTTATAGACGTGATCCAAATTTTCGAAACAGTCTGTTGATTTTTGGGATACTCATAGCCGTTTGTTTGTTTTTGTTTCATTTTTGTGCGCGCAACATTTGTTCGGCTTCGTAAAATTACTTGACGATTTGATACAAAGTTCGTTGTACGCCGTTCTTGCGGTGCTTGAAAATATCGAAAACAAAACATCAACCGTAAATCGCGCACCGTTTTGGTCGCGTTCTCCTGCGAATTCGGATCGTCTCGCGGGTTAGTGAGAGTGCGCGCCCGCCAACCGCGGGCTAGAGAATCTAGCGCCGGACGTTCGCAGCGGTTTTCTGAAAACAGAAACTCGCGAACGCGTGCACGGGGATGATGCACCAGCGTCGAGCCCCCGCGGCGGCTTATGGCACGGAGAGAATGACAACTAGGACGCGCGACGGAAGTTTAGCTCGTGGCGATTAATCGGCATTCGGTCGAACGGCGGATAGCGCGGGCGAAATGAAAAAGTTTTAAACAAAACAATAATAACAACAAACAGAAATGAAAATTCCGTTAAACAACGGCAACTCAAAAATAAATAGTGTTGTATTGGCTTGAAACGGGACGGGCCGCCTTGGCAACACGAATGGAGAAGAAACGCGCAAAACCACTGGAGACGGTACTGGAGACGGACGAGCGACAAGCGAAAACGCGTAAAACGCCGTCTACGAATCTCCGTATTTTTTTTTTTTCGGCACATTACCGACACCGCAGTTTACTGTTATGTCGTCCTGGTGATTGGTGGACATGATACGATTGAGTAACGTGCGTGACCAAGTGTGCCGTGCGAGTGTCCGTGGTACCGCGGGTGGACAGACAAAAAAAAAAAAAATAATAAAAAACGCGCGAACACGCGCAGTAGAACGCTTTTCGTCCGCCGGACTACGCCCGGCCAATATTATCCTCTCGTTCGGCGCACGCGGGCAAACCGATAACGAGAATAAACGTACGAACAACGGCGGGGAAAAAATCGCCACGGGAAACGCCGGGCGCAGGACAGCTAATCGGTAACGTTCGATGCCATTGTGAAACCGTCGTTTTCGGTCGGAGACGCGAAAACGCGCGGCGATAAAGGCCGGATTGCCGTGTTATTACGGCGCGTCCCACACTGTGTGTCGATCGACGCGATCGGCCAAATGTGTAAAACTGTCAAAACATGTCGAGTCGCGTCGAACGCAACCCGAATCGAGTCGGTATGGATCAGAGAGAATCGACTCGACAACAGTAGTGTAGACGTGTCGACGTGTGTAATGCTATTAAATTAATTATATGTTAACGAAAACCGATTTTTGAGAAAGAAAAAAAAAAAATGTTTATTTTGTTTAGTTTTGTTTTGCTGAGTGCATTTATTTGATTTTAATTTTATTAAATAAGTTTATCGTTAGTTCATGATGAATTGGAGTGATGAACAGACAATTTCTTTCATTGAAATGTATCGCGATCGAAGTTTGTTGTGGGAGGTACCCAACGAATTCGCAATACAAAAATAAAAACAAAAGGCCTGACGGACTTATGGAAATTGCGATTTTTTTTTGATGTAGAAAAAACGATAAAAAAAATTTGCAAAGCCGGTTTGCTAGAGAAAAGAAAAAAGAGAAGGAGTCGAGAAAAACCGGGAGTGGTGCAGACGAAGCGTATACTAGCGAATGGTTCGGATATGACAGTATGTTGTTCTTGGCCGATAAGAACACTCCAAGAAAAAAAAAAAAAAACACTGGCTTTTCACGACTCCAATTATAATTGCAGCAGCTGCCACCGCAATGTCATCCGAATCACTCGTTTTACAGGCGAGATTAAATAGGTGAATCGATAATATTGAATATATTAATAATAATAATAATAACAACGGACACTCGTAAAACACGCTCGTATACGTGCCGGTCAACTAGCCCACGCGTATGGTGGCCAAGCTGAAAATCGACCGTGTCGATCGACACCGTTCGGCATAGCGTGGACGCGGCTTTACGGCGCGTTCGGCGGAAACCACCGTGCGGGGCAGTGTCCGGGGCGATCCGACGGCCGCGGTCCGCGCGAAGAACGTCGGCGCGACAAAATACGATTCCGACATTTCGGACGTCGGTGTCGGAGGGACCGACGGAGCTGCGCACCTATCACGACGGCGGACGGAAGGCTCGCGGTCGCAGCGAACCGAACCGCGCGCGCGGTCCCAGAGCGACCCGTTGGGCAACGAACGAATTTTTATTATTCGGCCTCACTAACAGCCTGCCGTTGCGTAATAACCGACCGCTGCGAACGCTGTTCGACGACGACGACACGGCACGCACCGCGTTGACGTCGTCGTCCTAAACAACAGTGAACGCGACCCGGCCGAGTCTCCGCGCCCGTTTTCGCAATATTATTACTGTCGTTTTTTTTTTTTACGATCGCAGTCGTTGTACGCACACCGGGCCACTTGTCGAAATCTCCGGTTTTACGGAACGCCACTACGCACGGCCCCCGTCACCGTCGTCATGGAGTTCAGATTCAACATCAACAACGCGGTGGCCACCACCGTCCAGATACTGAAAATCGACAACACGCTGACGGCCGAAGGATACGAGAAAAACGTCGAGTGAGTGTCCGGACGGTGTCATGGCGGTACATCCGCGGCCGATTTTTTTTGTTTTTCGTTTTTTTTCGCTCGCCGATAAATATACCGGGAAACTCGGGTTATTTTAAGATTCGCCTGTTCTATAATCGGCACGTTGGTTTTCCACTGTCGTCGCGTCTTTCGCTCGGACCGCCCGCGGGACTAAGCCCATCGCGCTTGCCGGTATATGTCGAATTGTGTTCGTAATAAATTTTATTTCACCCGTTTTGCCCGTAATTGGCGCTTTGTTCGTTCTAAGCTTTTCGTTTGTTTTTCATATTTCATATTCATATTTCGCATGCTAATGTTTCTCGTCAACGGCCGACTAACAACTGACAATTTAAACGCAAAACAGTCCGCGTTCGCGCGCAATCGAAATAACGTATTACTGTGGATTTTTAATATCTTACTTTCAACCCGGCTATAAAATATTTGATTTTTAAAACTCGGTATCCCACACAGACCACGGATTATTATTCTGGCATTTTTTTTTTTTTTTCTTTTATTGATTTCCCGAACTCGGTCCGTTTACCGTGCAACAATACGAATAACCCTTGGATATTTTTACACTGTTATTGAAGTAAAAACAAATTGTTTTATTCGAGAGAAATTTCGAATTTTTTTCCTAAAGTTTTCAATGAGAAACATGTGGTAATATTGTACTTGGTTCACGTACAGAGAATATATTTCTGGTGATGCCCTAACCAGCTACAACCTCTAATGTCTTTAATATCAAAACAATGAAATAAACACTGACCTTAATTATTAATACGGTAGGTATCAATATATTGGTAATATTTTAAAATAATATTGTCCTATCACAATATTCTATGTAATTTAAATTTGATATTTTGTGAACCCAACATCGCCATTACAAGTTAATGCTTATAGGCGATGTGTACCCTAGATTCGTTAGATTGTTTATTATTTTATTGTGTTTGTTCTTATTTTGCCATATTGGTTACAAAAAATAAACAATTGTTATTATTAAACTTCATTAATGTTATTATTATTGGCTGTTATCCAAACTAAAATAATAAAATATTATGCAAATAGGCGTTTACATTTGTAGTCGTTATTAAAATGCAATCAGTTTGTCTTTACCGTGATATATTTATGATTAATTCAATTTACTCTTCGAAAATTATGGCAGAGTTATAGGTACTTTACTCAATTGTAAATACAATTTACAAACCATTATGTCACCTAATACCTACATCGAAATAAGAACTATTAAATCGATATTCATATTTTTAATCTACACTAATAACAATAATCTTTTATACCTATTAAATATCTGGAATACATATGCATTCCCTTTTTTTTCGTAAGGTAATAACAAACATTGCTACTTATTACAATATTGTGTAAAATCCACACTAAAAACTAAAATCTAATCCAACATAAGTTAACTGCTGGCATACAAAGTAACAATATCCGATTTTATATTTTTTTAACAGTTTACAAAACATAATGGGACTGATTATTGATGAGATGGGCAAAGCCTCTGCACTAGCACAAAATTTGACATTACCGATTACCAGCGCCAACAAACTTGTTAATTCCAATCATATAATTTACATGATGACCGAACATAATACACCCGGGTAAGATGAGATTTATGAAGTGAAATATATTATTTTTATAATTGCATACGTTACCATAATCGGTAACTAGGTATATAGGTGTTACTGTAAACTGATTTCATCAAAGTTCAAAGTTATTATCAATAATTTTTACTGTTTAATTATTATTATTTATTTATGGTTATTAATGTATTATATATTAAATTTATTAGTTTATAAGACCATTTTAATGTACTTTTCTCAATAATATAATACAAAAATAATTTAAAGTGAACTAATTACTATTAAACACTAACAAAAATTAATGAATAATTGTATTTCTTTTGGTAACTTCAATTTAATTTATTATATTCATTTTTACGATTAACTAGTACTGTTAATTTTTTTTTTTTTTTTCTTAAATACTTGTAATATATTCAAATTAAATAATATTCCCCATAATCTTTGATATATAGCTGCTTTGGTATATAGTTAATTTATATTTGAATAAGTTTTATTGATAGTTTTCCAACATTTGTATTTATTAAGGCATTTTACTGTTATTGGAATATTGAAAATGGGATGGAAAAAGTTGTACTTCTATGACAAAATGGGATTACGATCAGATGCCATGGTCTACTGTTTGCTGGACTTTTATGTTCATGAATCTAGACAGCACAAAAGTTATGGAAAGAGTTTAATCGATTTTATGTTACAGGTACTTTTCTCAAATATTTTTGTGTTTACTGTAGTATTTGATTAGGTTCTTATAATCTTACGATCTTAATAAAAATATTTTTAGGATATACATTTGAGTGCTAAACTTTTGGCCTTTGAAAAACCAAGTGAAAAACTATTACATTTTATGTGGAAACATTTCCAGCTATCTAAATTGGTAAACCAAGGCAACAATATTTTTACCTACGAGGAGTTTTTCGACAACGCATGTAATAATTGTTAATATTTTATAATTTTTTTTTTTTATGAATATTACTAAATTAAACTTATAAAAAATAAATTGTTTTGATTTATAGTTAAAGCAAAGAACCTTGATAATCATAGATGCCAGTAAGTTTTTAATAAATAAAACTCAAATAGTTGTATGTAAATTATTTATTTTTTTTTTATTAATATAAATTATTATTATTTATAAAGGGAATCTGCATGCAACTGCCAATTTACTTTTGGACAAAATGAAGTTCAAAAACATCAGGATACAATGAGCAGAGTGAGCCATTTTGAAAGATTCTAATGTTTGTATGAATAAAAATGAATTAATTTTTTTAATTTTAAGCCTACACAAAATCTGCATGGCTATACTGATTTCCCGAAACCAAAATACAATTATGGCACAGATTTGTGAGTACTCAATTTATATAGATACTTAATAATTATAATTTAATTTTTGATATTTTTTTAAAATTCATTTAGTGCTAATAATAAATTCCAACAAGGGAACCTTTGCCAACCTGAAAATGTAGGTGCATATCCTTCAAGTCTCATGGATGGTCAGCATGGAAGACACGATGCTCATAAACATCACGATACAATGGGACGAGTAAATATAACTTTACTGATATACTTATATATAAAAAAAATCTACTTTTGTTTTTATATTTAGATTGTCCAAGGTGAAAGTAATGCTGCTTTTGGAAAATTTAAATACAACCAAGACACATTTTTGTAAGTATTTAAATTTGAAATTTATTTAAAATAATAATCTATAAATCTGTTGTGTATATATTCTACTATATCTATTTCATTTATGCTTATTTTTCCATTTTAAAGTCTCAACAATTTTATTTTTTTACATATCATTATTACAAGGTTTTATTGAATCACTAAAGGTCTTAGCTAGATTTAACTAGATCTTTAACGATGAGCTGTTGTCTAGAATAGTTCTTTTGAATCTTAGTTTGTAAAATAACTGCAATTTACATGATGTGCTTAAATTATCATTATTATGTTAGTTATATCATATATTTAAAGAGTAATAGTTTTTGTTTGTAATAAATTTAGTGTTGAAGATCAGTTCAAAGGATTGAATCCACATCATCATGCAAATACAAGTGCATTTCAAACAGCTGAGGATGGACACATGGAAAAACGAGAGCTAAAGTCTCATTACAATACTGCATTGTAATTATTTAGTTAAACAATATACAGAGTGATCAATCTATCGTAAGACAGTCGTTATCTCGGGAGTATTAACTTTTTTCAGAATTAATTTGATAGAAAATGTAAGAAATAAGCTGCTCTACAATTTTACATTTATGTTATTTTTTATCACCCTTATTTTTGTCACTACGTAATTTTCATTTTCAAACGGCAACCTATATTAGAAATTCCATAAATAGATGATGAAGTATTAGTTAAAATAAATTATGGTATTAATTTTTGATTTCCGTCAATCTGTTGATGATATATTCCACTTTTAAGTTTTGGTTGGAGGAGAGTGGTGATTCATTATTAAAACACCGTGCACCGTACAACCACACAAATGATACTCCACTACTCTATTCCCACTCAAATTTAAAAGTGAAATATCTCGTCAATGTCAAAAATTTCAACACTAACATTTATTTTAAATAATACTCCATTTATTTATGGAATTTTTAATATAGGTTACTGTTTGAAAATCAAAAGTAGATATTGATTTACCTCTAAAAATAAGCGTGACAAAAAATAATATATATGTATGTATAATTGTAGAGCAGCTTATTTCTTAAATGTTCTAGAAAATAAATTTCGGAAAAAATTAATACTTTCTGATATAATGAGTGTCTTATGATGGATTGATCACCCTGTTTAAGTCAAAAATGTCTATCAATTTAGTCTTCACATTCTTTTAATCTACTGTGCTTTAATTATCATTTTATATTAGGTTGTACAATATATTTTAAATAGAGTAATAGTTTTTATTTGTAATAAATTTAGTGTTGAAGATCAATTCAGAGGATTTAACCCGCATCATGCAAATACAAGTGCATTTCAAACAGCTGAGGACGGACATATGGAAAAACGAGATCTAAAGTCTCATTACAATACTACCTTATAATTATTTAGTTAAAAAATATATAGGTTAAAAATGTTCATAAATTTAGTCTTCACATTTTTTCAATCTGCATAAAATAAAATATAATAAAAAAACATTAATATTATTAATATTTTTATATGAAAATAATTAATTATTCATATTTAAAAAAAAAAAAAATTGAATGTAATTTATATATTATTATATTAAATAATATTTTCTTTTTTATTAACTTAAACTATATTATCTAATGTTTCAATTTACCTTATAAAGTTGGTATAAAAATGTTTTTATTAAGTAACTATACAGTTTTGTTTTTTTAACATTTACTAGTGGCTAATGAGCAATAATTAACATTATAATTTAAGAATAATTATTTCATTTTATAAACTGTAGTGTTAGAAATGTTTATAATCTTGGATTAACTATATATTTTTTTTTTTTTAATAAAAACTTATACATTCAAATATAGTATTAAATGTGTTTAAAGTTTTCAAATTAATGTTTCAAACAAAATAGTTGTTTAAATATAATTTAATTTATGATTATACACAGAAAGTTTTTGATATTTATAGATTAAAGGGACAGTGTAATTGAGTTTCTATTGAAGCGACTAAATACACTTGTAATTATATTTCCTATGTAAAAACATACATGTATTCATATACAAAATTGTATTGTAGTTAATTCACTACAAAACCATTGTTGCCAGTTAATGTAGAAATAAAGAAATCAATACATCCCAAAAATTGAAGTTATATAGTAACAGTTTGGTGAAAAGTTTAACTCAAGTGTATAATTAAATAATTGGAAATTGTATGTTATAAAGGTGTTCATATAAGTATAAGAAAAATGGACAAACAAAATAAATTCTATTTTATTTTAGAAATTAATAAATTGAATTGTTAAAATATTAATAAAAATAACCCTAAACTTATAGGGAGAGAGAGAAAAAGATCTAAAAGATAATGATCTATAATGATCATCTGTTCAGTTAAAACAAATATGCACATTTTTTTTTCCTATAGACCCTCTTAAACACAGTCAGACTGGTCCGAAAATTAAACAGGCGCTCTCTGTTTTAGTAGCCGAGTCCATTAGAACTATCCCAAGAAGTTTCCGAAAGGACTTTTGTGCCGTTTGAGAAATTTAAATAAAATCAAAAGGACATACTCTGTACGATGGGTGGGCCATAGTTGTAAGAAGTTGTGAAGGTAGAGAGAGAATTTAATGTATATCTGTTTGCAATGATTAATTATTGCTAATGAAAGACGACTGTGAGTGGAATTCGGTTATATATGTTTTGAAAGGCTGTTTTTTTTTTTTTTTTTGTGATTTGAAAATAATACATTACGTAAATGTTCCCATTTATTATGAAAACCCCTTGGAAAATCGAAAAATGATTTTTCCTGCCAGAACTAATGTTACACTTGAACACCTGAGCATAATTTTTCAAAGTATAGTTGTTCATAGAAAAAAAAAATTAAATTATTTCATCGGTTTCTAATATTAACATAATTTTGTTATTGAGAAATGAATTATTTAATTTACCAAAGGGGTGTGGTTAGTGATGCAGGGTACAAAATTGCTGTAATATTTTTCTACTATGGAATTTTACGGTTTCCTAACTAAAACCATCAACGTCCGTTCTCAAATTTTTCCCCTCGATTTGCTCCGCCCTGTGCTTATTTGCTATGCGCACCGGAATGTCGTAAACGACTACCGCCGTTGAACCGCGTTTCCGGCAAATTTCCCCGATCTCTTATCTATAAAATTCTCGTGTTTTCCCGATAAAGTAATATCACGAAACGACACGCCCGCGTGGCCGTGTCGTTCCTGTCGTTCGATCAGAGGCTCCTTCCCTCGGCTACAAACCGATCCGTGAAGCCATGGCTCGCGGATAAAATGTAGACGTCGTCAGTCCGACCATATTGTAATCGTATTGTGTCGATCCGACGGAAAACGGTAACACCAGTGGTACCTAACTAACAGCGGACCACCGGATTGTTCCTGTTTTTTCGGTGATTTTATTTTCGGAAGCCCCTAACAGCCTGTCCGGGACCCTTCTCCGGCTCTTTCGGCAAGAACGACGCGTGTCCAAGGTCAACGCGGCCGCCGTATACATCCGAATGGAAAACACTTCGGCCGGCTTTTTCTTATGCGACGCCATTATCGTCGACGCACTCGTACGGATCGTACGGTCCACGGCGACCACTTGAAATTCGAATATTATTTCGCAGCACGATTTACGATAACCCTGCAAGTGTTCGAACAACACACGAGCAACCATGGAATTCAATTCTGCAACCGGTAAAGACGACCAGTGAGTATAATGTTTAGTACCCGTTTATTTTTATTCTATAGTCTCCTACTCGCAGCACGTACCCGCAGGTCGCCGACATCGCGACACTAAATCGGCCGGTTCAATAGTCGCACGGCCTATAGATCGTTATGGTTTCCCCGAGGCGATCTATTATAATACCGTGCACTAAATGTGCGATATGCTGGCACAGTCAAATAATAAATAGATTACGTAGGCGACTGGTATGCGATTTTTAAAAATCATACGATTAAATTTTCAACGAAAACCCAATGGCTGTTTAACGGTTTCGCGTACAGCTTTCATATCGAGTTGGTGTGTACGTCACCGGGTCCGTGTTGTAAACGTAAAATATACCCGCCTATTAAAAAATGCCCGCAAGAGCCGTGCACTATGCGTTTATCGAGGGCCGGGATTTATCATTTCCGAAAACACGGTGACCGTTATTTAAAATTTTTTTTTCGTTTAACCCAAGTTTACCGCCAGTCCTACAGATCCGGACAGGGCCAGACTTTTATCCGCCGGCCAGGTATCCGGGCCGGGTTTCATTTATAAATCCGCGGCGAACGAAAAATCGGGAACGGGCAGGACTGTTAATTACAAACCGGCCGGGCCAGGAATTGTCGACCCGCGGCAAGCCTCTATTCTTTGTATTAACAGTATTAATAACAATTATATGCCCCATGTGATTTTACGAGAATGTTTGCGTTTTCGATTTGATACCCGTGATTCAAAATCGTATTATTTTTCCCGCGCGTTATGACAATTTTCCAGATACACCGAAACTGAATTTATTAATTTTATTATTGTTCCGTTATCGACGTTACAGTTCTACAATAATATGAAAATGTTGCGAATTGCCTTGAAAATGTCCGAGCGCGCGGACAATATAGTTGCGTATGCGATATTCGTCGTTTTTACATGCAAACCGTGCAAACACAGCCGCGGACCCGTTTTCCCGGAAAATATAACAATAACGGACCGTAGTAGGGTACTTGGAGACGACAACACTATAAAAAAAATATAAATAGCGACCGTTGTATTATTCGCGTGCGGCCGTGCGGTCGTGTCGTTATTCCACGGTTGCCATTTTTGTGGATTTGACAAGTAGAAAAAAAAAAAAAACACCCGCCGACAATCGCGACCTTTTGTGTTGAAACGCCGAATTTTTCGAACCAGTCGGCACTGTGGGTTTATAGTCGGGGTGTGACACTTTTTCACCGTACAGCAGGTAGTCAGGCAGGTAGGCAGGTAGGCAGGTAGGTAGGTAGGTAGGTAGGTAGGCAGGTAGGTAGGCAGGCTGGCAGGTGGGTAGGTAGTTCGCTTGGCTCCCTCGACAATGCACGCCCCAAACGGTGATAAATATAGTCGACGGGGATGACACACGACTGCGAATGGCGCGATCGCGACCGTGTTTCGCCTGCCTTTTTCGCGCGCGCCGTCCGGTTCGTCAACCGAATGACTCGTCGTCCACTAACTGACAATAATAATTATCGGCGATGTATGTAATTTATGCGTAGTATTTGTCGTCGGTACACTAGTCACTCGCACTGCGGGTACATAGCTACTGGGTACTTGTCGTGAGTAAATAGAACGGATTTCTGTTCGCTCGCACTCCCGGTTTTATTAACGCTTAACAGTGGCGTACGTGTATGTATAGAAATTCATATTTTCGTTTTCTGGGGGGAATATAAAAAAAGCTTTCGGGTTATTTGTTAACACATAGATTGCATAAGTTCGTGAATACGCGCGCGTGCCGTACGTACAAACGTTGAATTTCGCGGGGCGGGGAGCGGGTGAACCCCCGAAACCCTCTCCTGCATGCGCCGCTGACGCTTAGTACTAATTGTATTGTTTACGCGCGAGGTGCGAGTGCGATTGGCGCGTACTAACGTTCAGTACTGAGCATCGTGTTAACCGGGCGTCGTAACACAACGTCGATTTCACGTTATTCGTCTGAATTTTGTTCGATTTTCATATACCCAACGGAATCGTTAGTTTTCAACAACAACAGTTTTCAGCTAATAATCGCTATTACGCATTTCCCGTCGGGCGATAAGATACGACGTAGAATAAACACTGTTTTATTATAACACGCAATATTCGTGTACAATTCGTTTCGTAAATTTTTATGAAAAACCATTTCGAATCGCATTGTCGAACGGTGTTATTCGCGATTCGTTCGCGCGTGTAATATTTATACCTAGAAAACAATTTTAAACACCATCATTTTGTACAATTTTATTTTAGTTCGTAATAACGGTCAATGGTCGTAGTCGGTATTTTCTCATCTCGGTGTACGTATTTTATTTCACCGGTTATTGGTCTAAGGTCATATTCGGGAAAACTGTTTATACCTACAAGTATACCCGTTAATTTATTTTGACATTAATCGAAACTATAAAAATATAATATTTTTTCTCGTATTATAATAGTATATATTTCCAAAACAACGTATAAAAAAAACATCGAAATACGCAAAATATACGCTAAAAGAGTTGCATTTTTTAAAATCGTTATATCACGAAACACATTTTGTGCTCACTTAGCAAATCATACGACCAAACAGAATAATACAGAGTAATAACTGTAAAAAGCCTATACTAAGCTCCTCTAGTAGTACCAAAAATATTTTTATAAACTTATCACACAAATATAAAATATAAATAAAAAAAACTAAAGTATATAATCCAACGAATTGTATCAATTATTAATAGGATATTACTTACAAGCAATTAAACTTTACTAACCGTTTAAAGCAGAAAGGAAAATCAAAGTTATAATTGTCTCAACGACAAAAACATATAAATGTATTAATATTAATAACACGACGACAAAATATTTTCCAAAGATAATAAGTACATATTCGAAAAAGTGAATTATAATATTCAACTGGCTGAAATTAAAGGTTTGATGGCTTTGAGTTTACCGATATGTTAAGTGGCCAACGGTTTCAGAAACTATTAAAAATATTGCAGTAACTGAGTCAAATATTAAATTTCCATAATGTACGAATTAAAAATCATTTCATCAATATTGATATACTAATTATTCAATTTACCACCCTCCGTGAGCAGTTTTTATAACTCTGAGAGGAGGACAAATTGAGATTAAACAATTTGACTATTTGTATTTCACTCGTATATTCATATAAAAATCGTATTCATGAAATATATATTTCAGATTGTAAATATTAAAAAAGAATTCAAATCACTCATATACATAATATTTTTTTTTACCTACCTATTTGTTTTAAAATCATATTACTCAAGCTTAACACTTTATTTTCATTAAAAATGTATATGGTAGAATAAATTAAATTATTTTATAGTTTCATTTATTTGTAATTACACACACACACACACACACACACACACATTATATACAATTACGACTAAAGCATAATTGCTGTACTAAAAATAAAACCTAGCATAGGCCTATGTAGACTATACATTCCTCCCGCCACTGCCACTCTTAGTTTTCTCTTTTTAGTGATTTTAAAAATCAAAATTCGTCCGTTCTAAGTAACATAACTTTGATATGTTGTTTGTTAATTAGACTGACGCTGTATTTTTGCATCAATTATTCCAGTAGGTGTATACCAATACTGATTATAACGGAAAAAATATGTCTTGCAGTCTCTAGTAAAATTGATTTTAATTTATTCCAATATTTAAAAAAAATTTAGGTCAGGATCTGAAGTTCAACAGAATTTTGGAAGGCACGAAGCACATAAACATCATGATACAATGGGTGAAGTAAGTATGTTATTAAAATAATAAATCAATTTTTTGTCTATAAAAAAAAAAAAAAATAATAAACACATATATTTGTTTATAGATTGTACAAGGTGGTGCTTCTGATTTTACAAAATTCAAGTACAATCATGTCTCAGACTTGTTAGTATCTTTATGTTTAATTTAATTTTATGTAAAATTAATAAAATATAAAATAATATTGTTAATATTTTATTGATAATTAGTGTTGATAATCGGTTCAAAGAAATGAAACATTCTGAAAATGATGGTACTTATCAAGGTGACACTGATGGCCGTCATGGAGCTCACAAGCATCACGATACAATGGGCGAAGTAAGTGTTACAATTATTATCATTAAGTGCATGAACAATAAAAAAAAATGTATTTTTAATTGTAGATTCTAAAAAATGATGATGATACTAAGAAATACAACCATGATTCAGACTTGTTAGTATAAATACCCTTATATAATAATTTAAAAGTTTGATTTATTAAAATTGTATATTTGTATTAACATTTTTGATTTAGTGTTGATAAACTTGCCAATAAATCAAACAACTCTGAAGATGGTGATGCACATCAAGACGGTAGGCACGGAGCTCACAAACATCATGACACAATGGGCGAAGTGAGTTTTATTACTTATAATTTTAAATACTTATAAGAAAATGTATTATTTTTACGTGATTTTATTTGTAGATTGTAGGAGGCGATGGAAAAGTTCCGAAATCCAATTAATAAAATCATAACACTACAGTAATGACAGTCCATAGAATTGTTATATAAATATAATTTTTGGGTATTTTAGCGGTATATAATAATTTACATAACTTAAATTATCAATGTTTCAAATAATTTGTATAACAAGGTCCATTTTAAAAAAAGTACAAGTTTGTTTTGCACTATTTCTGATGTTAATATAACTATTATATTATGTTCTATCACTGCACTATTGTAAACTAGATTTAACTTTAAAACATATTAAACATATTATCTTGATACATATTAGTTAAAATGAATAACTATTTTTTCATTTTTGTAGTCGTGTGAACAATATTTTATACAATCTTTGATATCTAATGTAAACAGTTATCTTCTTTTAGATTCCGAGCGTAGCATGGGAGCTATTGGTTTTTATTTTCCTAAGGTGGTACTTTATGGAGGTCTTATTTATAGTTGACCGCTCAGAATCATTTTTCATTAGAAATGGTTAATTGTTGCGTACAGATATACATTAAATTTATCTTATACTTTTCCAACTTCTTACTTACAACAGTGGCTCACCAACGTGTGAGTATGTCCCATCTATTTTAGTACACACCTAATGTGTTCAGTGACATACTAAGAGGCATGTGTTATTGGGCCGTGACGAGGATATACACAATGAACAGAACTTACTAATTAAGTAGGTACCATAGAAACTGGTTACTTTGTTTATTGTTGAATTGGTAATTAGATTTATCAAAAAATTAAAACTAGTATAAGTTTATAAAGAAATCATGTCATTTAAAAATAATAAAGATCTTAGTCATCTTATTCTTGAAAATAAACAATTTATAGGCTAAATAATCCTCTAATTACAACACCATAAATAATAAATTATTATTCTATTAAAACTAAATAAGTAAAAATAACCTAAAATAGTTTTTAAAATTTAAAATTGTAGAACATTTATTTATCAATTCAAAAAACTAAAATTGGTGAAAAGGCACATTACATAAGTAAACGATACATCATTAGCATTCAGCATAACCTACGATTACCTACCTATCAAGCTATATTAATATCTAAGAATATTAGTTATTTTAATTTACTAAAATAAATTTACTAGACTATCATCAATACATTTAGATTTATAATATTATATAAATATTGAAAAGATTTCAAACTCAATGTAATGATTAAATTAAATTAGATTCTAAATCAGTAGGTATCCAAATATACAGATGAATTTGATTTGTTTTCTCCATGTTCTTGTGTAGTTTAAATATGCTTTTTCGTGGTACAGTGTGAAGGATGACTGAAATCCTAAAAAAAAAAACCTTATACTTGTATAATGAGTTACAAAAAATGTCTTTAATTTTATATAGGTATTATGTCAATTGAATTTGGTAATAAACTAAATTCATTAAAGGATTAATTTACCTAATGGAAAGTTAATTAACTGTTCAAATGTTTAATGTAATACATTTTTAATTAAAACTACTTTGACAGAAAAACCTTAAAAATTCAATTTAAAATTGATCACATTATGTTTATTCCTATGAAGTTAAAAACTTAAAATGAACAAAAATGTTTTATAAGAGCTGATACTGAAGACAGGTGTGTACACCATCAAGGCTGACACATTTTCTAGTAGAAAACGTAGTTGTCAAAAATTAATAACAATGAAATTGGAAACGATGTGACGCATCATACATATATACTAGATAAAATTTCTTTCTAAAAAGGTGCCGCACCTAATACATCGGAACTAGATTTCTGGTAAAAATGTTGATCACAGACACAAAAACTTAAAAAAAAAAAAACCTACCATAGTAAAACAAATTAATCCTTGGCTACGCTCCAAATCTAATAATTTAGAAATATTATGTTTAAAATAAAAGAACTATAGGCTAATTATAAACAAATATATATATATAGAGAGAGAGAGAGAAAGAGATAACTAGTTGGCATTTACCAATAGGTACATCTTCATAATTTTCAAGAAAACAAAAATTAAATGTTCCCTAATTTTTACTTAATGTATGTTTACTATATTATAATTAAAGTTTGATCATCAATTTATATTATTTTCACATTATTTCATTAAAACAAATTTAACAAAAGGTTACTTTTAGGTAGGTACTTTAACATAAATTAATTTCTGCATGTAATGTATGATATATAAGAGTGGTTAATTCTATTTAGCTAAAAATAATACAAAATTATGTTGTTTTTTTTTTTAACAGTCAGAATTTTTTCATTGTTTTTTTTTTTACCCGTTCCCAGGAATAATTTAGTTGCAAAACTGTAAAAATAACCTAGACGTCACTGACTACTATAAAACAGCATAATTATTAATTATATAACTAATATAAATAATTGTTAATAATGTGACTATAAAACTGCATTTATTCATCGTGTTTCACAAAGTTTATTCAATTTTTGTTTTTGACCACTTTTATTGGAATTACTATTTTTATCTAGATTCGTCTACCTTGACTATATTATTATAATCATGACATACTATATATTCTTATTAGCATAGGTACTTATGTACTCATAGACTGTATATAATAATACTATAATATATACACGCCGATATCTATGGATGTACTGATATAAAATCAATAAAAAAAAGTCCGAGAGGGGGAGCACGGCCCGTCTGGCCCTGCCTGGCTACGCCACCGGGTCATTCCATTAAGTCTCTGCTGTCCTATAGTGTTTCTTAAATACGTCAAGAGGCCAAACTTCATAAGTGTAGAAAAGGTGCGATGAACATTGCGTTTCAAATCGGTATAAAAATCACACAACGGTAAATTACTACATAGAATTCGTAAAAAACTCACAAATATATTTCGGGGGGGGGGGGGTCATAACCCCCATCCTCCTAGTGGCGCCATTAAACCGGGATACGTCGGATTAATTTCAATTTCAGCTCGTGGTTGTCAATTTTTAAACATCTGATAGCCGGTAGGTATAGATTTTATAACGCTGTAGCAAATGTCATTGGATACTGGATAGGTATTAGAAAATGCTAGGTATGCCCGTAATTTCATAAATAATCTGTGATCGTCGTATCGGCACATTACCATATTATTTTCCCTCGGGGGTACAAAAGTTGTTTAATGTACACGTCGTTTATATCGTCTAAATGGTACATCGTTTTTCGATGTTTCGACATTTTCCACAGACCCAGAATTCATGTATTCAACCGTTATAAAACCTACGGGACCTTTGTACGTTTGGTTCGTTTTCGAACTAGACAAACGTAAAATCGCATCCGTACAAACGTCAACCTGTAAGTCGCGGCGTAGGGGTTCACAGAAGAATCCTGGACCTGCATTATGGGTGCAGGGTTGGCAATTTGGAGTGGAACGGACGCCAACGGTAAATTATTTCTTTTCGGACCTTTACGCAGCCTGTTCGCTGTCACGTAAAACGCCGGCAGAGCGCTGCGTTCGAGGTCACTGTCCACCGGCGTAAACAAAAACAAATAGCAGTATCATTATTGACTACAGTATCATTGCCCACTGGTATCCCGCCTATCAGATATTGAGATATCATCAGACATTAAGACTTCAAAAAATCAATTAACAGATGCGCAACAACGAACGTTCGTCCGCTCGTGTATACACTTAATGGTATTGCATTCCTCATTGCTGTGTTTCGAAACAAAACCGAAACGCCTTCCGTGCAATCATGACTGCCGATACGCGTGCCATGGAATTCAAATTCGACAATAACGTCGTGGCCGTCGACGAGGTGCTGAAGATCAACAACACCCTGACAGTCGAGGGTTACGATAAAAACGTAGGGTTGGTATTTGTTAGATATTAAATAAAATATAATCTAATATTTATGTAATTTATATTATACATTTTTCTCGTGTATTATCGAAATATCAACCAATTTGTTCGGTGATCGTGTGACCCTCCCGAATTGATTTTTCAAAACTAATATCTATATCAATAATTTGTCATTAGTTTTTTTTTTTTTTTTTTAAATTAGAAAAACTAAGGAGAACCTAATAAAATGTTTCCAAAAAAAGATACTTCCGAAGTAAAAATTAACATATTTTATGGTATGGCATAAAAATGTTACAAGCATTTTTACAAACTTAAAAAAAAAAAAAAAAAAACACCTTGATAAAACTTAGTTTTTTCATTCAGAATCTAAAATATATTTAAAATAATTTATTAGAAAATTTCAAAAATAATTCCAATGGCATTGGCACAGAATGTTTTGATGTACCTACCTGATTAAACTCGTATACGGGATTTGATATGTTAAGAAAAAATGTATGAGTACAAGTTAATAATTATTTATAGGTAATCATTGACAATTAGATAATAACAAACCTGCCAATTGATATATAGTATGGCTATTAATTGCCTATTATTGTTTTGTTATTGTATTTATCTCCAGTTAATTATATCTTACTGTACCTAAAAATATCAATTTTCTTTGGAACTCGTAAATTTTAAATAATAAATAATGTACAATATACTAATAATTTTTGTTTATTATTGTGTTTTTTAAAAAAATTTAATATTTCCATACTTATTATAATTTTTATTTACAGTTTAAAAAACGTAATGCGGCTGATCATAGACGAAATGGGCAAAGCCTCAGCTGTGGCACAAGAATTAAAATCACCAATTACCAGTGCTGATGAGCTAGTCAATTCCGATCACAACCTCTACGTAATGACCCAAAATAATATGCCAGAGTAAGATAAATACTTAAGATTATTAAACTTAACCAGTTTGATTTTATTCATATTTTATTTTTTAAGGCATTTTACTGTTATTGGAATTCTAAAAATGGGATGGAAAAACTTGTACCTCTATGACACAACTGGATTGCGTTCAGAATCTATGGTTTACTGTTTGATGGATTTCTATATTCATAACCCCAAACAGCGGAAAGGTTACGGAAAACGTTTATTAGAATACATGTTACAGGTATATTTCGAATTTGTTGTAAATTTTCAACTATTGCTTAAATACTAAAATGTTTTAGGATATGAATTTAGATGCCAAAGATTTGGCCATTTACAAGCCGACCAACACACTGTTACAGTTTATGGCAAAGCATTATAAATTGTCCAAATTAGTAGATCAAGGAAACAATATTGTTGTATATGAAGATTATTGTGAGAATTAACGTAAAATTATAATATTAATGTTTTATAGATGTAGCCAATTGTAACTAATAAAACAAATTATGTTAATTTACAGTCGGAAAAAAAAACAATGATACAAGTGAAAATGGGTAAAATTTTATAATTTAATAATAATGTGTTTTTAATTGCTGAGGCTATTAAAATATTTTGATTTTTAGTGTATCAGCTATTCAATCCAGTTCAGATCAGCATCAAGATCAGATACATCATGACCAAATGAGTGATGTAATTTATATTAATAATTATAACTTCTTGGGTCATGGAATCATAAATGGGTTAATTTACCCCCTACCTTTGCTTCCTCTTTCCTCTCTTCGCCTTATTTGTTCTTCTATCTTACCCTTTCTTTGGTTCCACTAATCCCCATTTCTCAAAGTACCATTGTTTCTTCTATCTCAGATTCGGGCATAACCGCTTCCCTGCTCACACTTTATTACCTATCTCTTAATGATTCCCTTCATCTACAACTCCCATCTCCTCTTCAACTGTCCTGCCTTTACTAATATGTGTCTTCAACTTTCCCCCATATTTTTCAATCATCTAATATTCTAATGTCCCTCATCCATTCCATAATTAATTTGTTCATTTCCAAAGACTTTCTATTATAATATTGTTTTTTCTATGTGTAACCGCTGAGGCATATATGTTTTATTAAGTCTCTAATAATTAAAAAAAAAAATCGTAACTAATATTATAATGGATACAATAAATTTATGAAAAAACAATTATAGTTATTTTGACTTTTAGATTGTACAAACACAAGATGCTGATTCCTTACCATTCAAATATAACACTGATTTGTGAGTACAAATTTTATTTTGGCAATAATAGTAAAAAATAATCTACTATTTGTTTGTTAAATCCTAATTAGAATAGATAACCAATTCAAAGAAGTAAACCCACATTCTGGAAATATTGGCTAATTTCAATCTAACATGGATGGACACTTAAAGAAACAGGATCTTAAATCCTATGATGATGCTGAATGGTAATTCCAATATCTATTGTCCTATCTGTATAACTTAAATTTATTCTTCTTCATATTGTTATAAATCAATTTGAAATTTTAAAAAAAATTGTAATAATATGTAGTTTTGAGAACTAAAGATTTAGTAATTTCTTATAAAAATAATATATGTACTGTCTTTTTGCAGCTAATTTCATTATTTAAGTCTCCTGAGCTTTACGCGTTTACTTGTTTTACTCTATAATTATATTATATTGTATATATATTTGTTAATATAAATTAGAATATGTAAAATTAAACTTGTATTTATAGTACATGTTGTGTTCTTCAACAGTGACACAACAAAGAAAGTGAACCCTATGTCAAATCTCTGTGATGTGCATAAAAGTATCTAAGTAGGTACATCATCTTTATAAAAATCCACTAATATGTAAAATATATATACATATATTTTTCTTTTTGTGTACCTGTAGGAGTAATATAATGCAATTTGTATTACTTTATTACTTATACCTATGTACCTAATAAATAATTATAAAAATATTATTTATATCTTCTTTTAACTGTCGTGAGTTATAATATTACAATTTTTATTTATTTATCTATTATTTTGTGTATCAATGATGTTTTGTTAAGAGCGTATACCACTAAAAATAAACATGTATTATGTATACGAGCAATTTTATTGTTTTCTATAATGAACATCATTAATAACTGTTACTGTTTTTTTTTATTCGAAAAACAGCTTTTTTCGCTTCCTGAAAATAAAATGGATTTGATAGACGCTCTTTTAATAACACATCATTAGAATATCAGAAATTGGGTAGGGTTTTTTTATTAATTATTATGTACTATAATAATCTTTATATATTTTGCTATTTGAATTATTAAGTTGACAATCGTATTTGTTTTAACAATGTGAAATTGCCATTTAGCCTAAACAAACTAATGATAATTTAAAATCTTCTTACTTATATAATTCTTTTAATCGCTTAAGAAGACCGACGTTATACGCACATCTACTGTCAGTCCAACTACCGGGTAACATGCAAAATAATGATTACACTGAATAAGTAAAATTAATTTTATTTTGATTTTAGAGTAAAAGTACTTATTATGAAATTCATAGAAAACAATGTTTTGGAGAGACTGTCATTGGTGTTTTTTAAATTATGAACTATTAAAAAAGTTTCTGTGTAAGCATTGTTTTTGCATGTTAGTTGGACTGAAACAGATGCAGATAAAACATCCTCTTAAATCGTCAACAAAATCCTAGTTGCACTACTGTTATTTAGTATAATATAATAGTTACCTATATAATACTTTTTAAATTTTTAAAGTATAACAATATAATAATTGTTATTGATTTATTCTAATAAAATACTTTTAACACTATTTCACTAGAAAAGATAATAATTATTTTAATTCAGATTCTATGTAAGATAATTTAATAACTATTAAACCTATTATAGTAGTAAATCAATTTTGTGAGATTATTTCTATAAACGTAATAAAACAATTAACTATGATATTATTATTTTCTAGATGTATTTTTTTTTGTATGTTTATATATTTAGTAAATAATAATAGAGAAGCTATCAAAAAGAATGCACTTAGTTTTGAATACATTAAAATATTTTCAAAAACATAATATCGTTGAACCTCATTCATCAATTACAACTAATAGGTGACACTAATATACAAGTTTAAAAATACTGTGCCGAATTCCTATTATGTAATTAAAAATTGGGTCTTATTAAGTGGATGGGGCTTCGACCAAATTTCAAGAATGCACCTTTGTGTTTAAAAACTTCTTTAAATAATTATTTTATTATTTATTGTTATCACGATTATTTTAATATCTGTAACAGATAATTAAATCTTCCAATAGACAGTATATACGTATATATTGAAATGTAAGCATTTTATTTTAGATTCTGACCTGGAGTGAGGAATGTATCGATTTTACCATAAGGTGACTTTGTTGGACATTTATGATGTTGCCCTGACAAACTTCTTTCGGGACAATTTTATGTCGATGCCAATTATTTCGTATTAATTCTTATTTTATTAAATTACACATACATATTTTATAGTTTTAACATGCATATTAAAATTTTATCTTATTTTCGAATGAAATAAATTTGTTGACAAAAATATTCATTATAGATTATGACGGTGATTGCGTTTGTAATGATGAAAATTAATAAATTAAAATTAGACTTGTCATACATCTCGGTTTTAAGCGGACCTAAGTCCCAGTTAATAGAAACCCGAGAGAAATAACATTTTAAATTGTATTGTTTAATAATAAAACACGGGCTAATATTGTACATTGCATCATCAAGTGTTACATTAAATCTAAACAAATATTCAATATCATATCCCGGACCCCGGTTTGGGGATTTAAAAATCTGGAAACCATATTTAAAAAAAAAAATTCTTATCGTTGTATTAAATATTTATACTAATTCGGTACCTAGGTATTGAATACGCAAATTACCTAGGTATTAATTGCGCAAATTACCTAGGTACCTGTATCAAAATCGTATACTATCGGCCGCATTTGTTTTTACGATCGAGTCTTCTACGAGAGGATTCGTTTGTGTTCAAAGGTCAAAACGAGTCGATGTAAAAACGAACGTTTAACATGTGGGGCATGGTTACTAGTTGGAAACGGAGAGCTTAAAACTCCCGATTTTAAAATCGCCACTACCAAAACGTTCACGACATTATAATGAACTTTGCAACATCTTTCTATAATATTACCCATCTACTCTTACGGAATTCGGTCGATACGGTCGGAGGGGTGTTGAAAGGTCCTCGCAGTTTACTGCGACGTACGCAGAGGTTTGACCGCCCAAAATGTCCGCGCGCATACTATTAAACACTGGACTCGACGACGCTGGTCTGTGTCTGTAGTTGACTTGCATTAGAATAGACGTTAACGTTGTCATATTCAGAATAACGCAATAAAGAAACTATTCTCTATGGTGTGCAGCGTTGTGTTGGTATTGCAGTGGGCACAAAGTTGTTTATTGTTTCTATTCGAACAGCCTGCTCGACCGTTACGGCTCATCGCCAGCTGCTTCTGTTCAATTCAACGTCACGGCAACTGTCGCGCGTCGGCTTGCAAACAGACAACGAAATAACGTCAACAGACAACAGATATTATATACGCGTTCATACGCTTCGTTTGCGACAAGATCCGTTTTTAAAATTATAATAACAAAGTTTAAAAACCGAAAAGTAAATGTTAGTGGCCAACCTCAACAGCTGTAAAAAAAACTTAATTGAAAACTCTCGTAGGTAAGTATTGTACAGTACCGGTATATTCGTCACCCAATAACTCAGCCATAGGAAAAATATTAACAGAAAAACAAGCTTAACGACACAGCTTTTCTTTTGTATCCACTATAGCAGAAATATAGACGTCGTTGCCGAAGGTCATTTTCAGATACTTGAAGACATGGAATCGTCCAACATTTTTGGTAGCTCCGAGGCTGATGTAGAGAAAAACGGAAGGTGAGTTTTTTTTTCTAATACAATCTGTTAGTTGATGTCATTTTAGCGATCATATAAAAAAATAACAATTGTAATGTGGTTGTGCCATTCTTAAATTGTATTTTTGAATCATATATTAGGTTATCATGTAAATCAACTTTTTATTTTGTTTACGGTTGGCTGTGAATTTGTTATTTTTAATTGCATTAATATTGTATAATCAAAAAGCACCTAGTAAATAAATAATGAATAATAACATCCTTTTAAGATATAAAAATAATACCAATATATAATTTAATCATTTTTTTTTTTTCTGTAATATTTAGATTGTTGGGAAGTAACCAGCAAAGCCAAGCTGGCTTTGGACGACACGTAGCTCACAAACATCATGATACAATGGGCGAAGTGAGCTATTATTATAATATTTAATAAAATAATAAAGCAAAAATAAAATTATTAAAATGGTTAATACGTGTAAATAAATATATAAATAAAAAATGTATCACCTGGAGTATTATACGACCGGTTTTGAATTAAAAATTCATCATCAGGTATATCACAGCCAAATTATATTTAATTAAGTATTTGTATTATTTAAATAAAAAGTGTAATTCAAATTTAAGTATTTTTATTTTTATTTGTAGATTTTACAAAGTCATACTGGTACCGGAAATTTCAAATACAACCAAGACTCAGATTTGTACGTAAATTTAAAGTTTAATATACTTGTATATGTTTTACACATTTGTATTGACATATTATTTTAGTGTCGACAACAAGTTCAAAGAAGTGAATACTTCTGAAAATGATAATGCAGTTCAAGTTAACACAGATCAGCGTCATAGGGCTCACAAACATCACGATACAATGGGCGAAGTGAGTGTTGTAATAATGTAATATATGTGTGGAAAATAAAATGTATTTTTATTTATAGATTATCCATAACAGTGGTGAAGCTGATTTTAGAAAATTCAATTACAATCACGATTCAGACTTGTCAGTATTTTAATTAAAAGGGCATGACATTCACTTTTGCCTTTTCTATGTATTTAATGAGAAATATAACAAAAATTTGTGTATATTGTTCCAACAGTACTTTAATTCTACAACAAAAATTATTTCACCAAATAAAAGATAAAAACTTTTACTGTTTTCAAAGAAAAATATTTTATTATATTATTATGCAATTATTTGTTGTAATGAAATAATATATTTATTTTTGAACGATTGAATTATCTGGGATTCTGGAAAATAGATTTAAAAAAAAAAAAATAGTAAATGATAGCAGTTTTAATTTGATGAAATAATTGATATTTAAGTATATTAAGTCCTGAGTACTATTGGAAAAATAATTTTAATATGTTGCCTGTTCGATAAACTGAATTACAAATGTTACTGTGACACCCTTAATTGTTAAGGTTCAATATATTGAGTTTTAAATTCGTTTTATTAACTCTATTTAGTGTTGATAAACGGATCAACAAAATGAACTCTGAAAATGTCAATGTATGTCAAGCTGACGCAAGAGGCCGGAAAGGTGCTCACAAACATCAAGATACAATGGGTGAAGTAAGTGATTCTTTACTATGATTAACTATGTATAGTAATATAAATTTAAAATGTGTTTTTAGATTGTCCAAAGTGGTGGTGATTTTGAAAAATTCAAGTACAATCGTGATTCAAATTTGTTAGTATTTTTAAACATTTATTTGTTAGTATTTTTAAACATTTATTTGTTAGTATTTTTAAACATTTATTTGTTTGGTTTTATTTATTTTTATAATTTGTATTTTAAAGCGTTGATAATCGATTCAAAGAAGCCGACCAAAATTCAGAAAATGAATGTGTAAAACTATCAGATGTAGATGGACATTATATAAAAAAAGATATTAAGTTCCACCATAACCCTATATGGTAATTCAATATAAAAGTGTATTCACATAAATATTTGTACTGCAATCTTCATTATTTTTTAAATAGAAATTTGAATATAGTATGTATGTTAAATATGTAATTTTATTTTAGTTGATGACTGATCAAATGTGATTCATTATATAATTTGTATACATTTTTACATTATTATTTAGCTCAGAGAAATGATTTTAATATTAAGGTTTTAATGAATAAATATTAAATATTATTGCACTCCACAGTAATAATTAATTTAAAATGTCATGTTTTCCTATTGACCTTTGGGAGTTCAATATACGAGTGTGAAGACATGATAAATACAATAACTTATGTTCTATTCAATATGTTGTAAGTTTTACTCCGTGTAATAATTAATAGAGCCTTGCACTACAATTCCTTTATTTTATAATTTTACTAATAATTATTTTTTACTTCTAAAAATAGTAGAAACTATTCATCGTTAGTAAATATTCAGAACACCTTCATTTTGTAATAATATTTCTATGTTTCTCATCCCTGGTCTAGTGAATACAAAACATAAATAAATATATATATATAAAATTAATAATACTGTTATCTTTGTAAACTTTCCCTTTTTTTCCTTTTCCCTAAACAATTATAAAAAAAAATCTTCTAAAGTCCCAGTGCACCAATTAAATTCCAAAATGATACAAATAAACTCTCGTATTATTTTAATTGGAAGAAGATTTCTATAGTAAAAATTGTTTATAGACGGGGAAAAAAATTTTATTTCCCCATGTATTAATAAATATATATTATTATTATTATTATTATTATTAATAAATTGGATAAATATACAATATTAAATAAAGTTCCTTAATGGAAATTAGCTGCTATACATAAAGAGACAAACAATTTGTTAAAATAAAAACTAAGCAGACATGGTAGATCGGTAGTGTAATGTGACCAAATATTTGTTTGGTAAAATCTAAAAAGCAGTACATAAACAGAACAATAAGCTGAAAAAAAAAAACCCCAGTAGATTGTAATAAAATTGTATGTAAACACATCTATAAATTGTGAATATAATTGTACTTAATTATTATAATATATTATTTTTATAAAATATTGAATTAGTTATACATATTATCTACCATAGAATAGAAGACTGTAACAAAGAATGAATGGTTAACTGATAATTCTATATAAAACAAAATACAATTATACATAATAGTCAGTCGGTATTTCGGTAAGAACAATTGCAATTTAATAATAATCTTAAAAAAAAATTCAATCTAACCTAACCTAACCTATCTAGTTGAATATCAGTATAATTTAATCCGTGTATTGTATGAAATCGTTTTTAAGAAATGCCACATTGTTGATTGTTCTTTTTCCATCATTGTAGTCAAAACATAGTAGTTTTAATGAATTTTAATATTTTTTATTATTCATTTTCTTTTTAAAATCTGAGTGTAACGAGGAATGTATTGGTTTTACGATATTTATTTTTTTTGCTATCTGTGAACGAATTTTCTACCAAAACATTTTGTTCCAATTTTCAAGTGTATGTAACACTTTTTATGAAAGGAAATCTGACTGTGGTGGTACTTTAAGGAGGTAATTTTTTTTTGATTTTTCCAGGAGTTCATAATAAATGAGAAAAATCAGGAAAATGTACAAAGTTGATTACAGGCTGTCAAAATATGCACAACCGAAATAGGTACGCTCAGAATCGTTTTTCGCTAGCAAAGATTAACCGTTGCGTATATCTATATCTTTTTTTATTATTATAAGTCCAAATGGAGAGATGGTTATGGCATATGAGATTTGAAAATCTATGATTTTGTTACCGGCAATGTTGACATTTCAGGAAATTATGACAATGCTTAAATACCTTGGGAAATAATATTTTAGTTGATTTTTGACGAAATTTCCGTAGTTTATTAGGCAATTTTATCGATGCACAATTTTTATTCCGAACAACTGTAAACTCCAGCATTGTGTAATCTGTATTGATAAATGTCCACGTACCGACTATTAATTATAGGTACAGAATTACAGAAAATAGTTATCGTGTTTGCCTATTCTGTGTTATTAAAAGTCAAGATAAACCGGTGTGCATGCAAATCGGTATCCAGAATTCGTAATTTTAAATATCGCGGAAGTTTGATGTGATGTGAAAATAAAAATGAAGTAGATAAAAGTAGTAAAAATTAATAATAGTAATAATAAAAACTATAAACTAAAAAGACGTCCTAGGATAATGGGGTCTGCTGCGGCCAATGTCATAAGAAAATCGATGTATACCTGTATGCAACGAATAAACCATTGCTAACGAAAAAAACTATTCTGAACGGAGTACAATTGATTGATGCTTTGTCAACAATATAATATGTTGTTATATTGTAGTAAAATAATTAAATATGCATCATGTATTTTCTTAATATTTGTTAAGTGTACCGATTTTCCCGTTTTTGCTACTTTTCCCATGTTTATTTCCTTGTTTTTTCACATTTGATGAGAAACTCCCTGAAGTACCTCCTTACAGCAGTTTCCTTCCAGAACACTTAAAAATCGGTACACGATCTCCGGCAGAAAAGTTGTCCCAAGAAAAAAATTAAACATCTTTGTAAAACCGTGTAAGCTTCTTCGTTCCACTCAGTATCTAAAATATAAAAGTAAAAATAGTTTACATAAACTATTTTTTTAATTATAAAATGAATATGTAATTTTAATATCATTGCCTGCTATCGTTAGGGATTGATAACATTTTCTAGGCAATAATATAACCGTATTATTGGAGGGGGTTTCCAACAGGGGGTCGGGTTGCTGCGTTCTCTGGGGGTACCGTGGACATTATGTGAAGGGCCCGGTGTCTTGTTTAAAAAAAAAATTTATGACATAACCGAATACCCGAAGCTTTAACATTAATCTTAACTCTGTTTTTATATCTGACACGTTGTCCAAATAATGTTAATCTAAAAACTTCACTATAACAATTAAATTTATCCATAATTTTTGTAAAACATAAAATAGGTATGTGTATGCAAGGGCGTGGGATACAAAAGTGGGATACCACGGGGACTGAATCCCTTCCCTTCTTCATACGTGTAGATAATTGAAAAATAAGACTTAAACATTTTGTAAACTATAACCGAGGTGTATCAAAAATCCATTTTCAAAGCACATTATGAAAAGTGAACTGTTTTTAGTCACCGCCTTTTTTCTGTTTCCTAGATTTGCCCGTGTGTGTGCATGTTTGGTTATGTTTGGTTAAAGAAAAGTTGAAGTTATAAAATATAAATACACGATGTACCACAATAAAACAACAGAGTGCCGTTGGATTTTTAGAAAATACTTTAGGGCGCCGTGAGTCGAAAAAGGTTGGGAACCTCTGTTGATCGTCCACGATCGTCGTTAAACCTCGTTTCGTTGACATTCCAGATATTTGGGAGGGAAAATTGGTTGAAATTTTCAAAAATTTTAATTTTTATATCGGACAATATATTTTATACTGTAGAAAGTACCATTTAAATAATACGTAGAATCAAATCGTTTGACTAAACCTGAGGCAGTATCAGGCATAATAGATTTCAAATATGACGTACTCTGTTCACCGTCCGTCAGAGAGTATTGGAAATTCTCAGTGGAAACGATTTTGCTTTCAAATGCGCTTTGTTTGAAAGGAAAATACCGTATTTGCTTTTGGGCTTTTTTGCCCCTGGGTAAATCGTTTTTCCCGCGTTTCAAACGGGAAAATTGGTGTAGCGTTAATCAAAACCGCTTTTTCTTTTATTCCAGTACAATTTAACGATTCCCACATTACCGGGAGGGCTATAAGTACCGACGGTACGGAGCTTAACCTCCAGAAATCCCCCGGATCCCCTAAATTACACGTCTACGATGTCGCAGAACTCGGCTGAACGAGTGATCGCACGGGACCGCTGGCGAAGAGAACCGGCGAATCGCAAACGAAACAAAACCATAATAACAATAACAATTAGACGTGCGAGACCAGGTTAGAGATTTCGAAACCGGGCGTGGTAGGCAAATTGCAACATGCTCGAGTCGTCTCTGCACAAGGTCGGGTTATGTTAAAATTTCACGTGCCTGTTATTTTTACAAAAACGATTTGGAGCGAAACTTTTTTTCATTTCAAAAATAACGACAACGATAATGTGCACGTAACCGTGCCGCACAAACGTTATTGTACAAGTATTGTTTCAACGACGGGGAAAAAAAAAAAAAACACCCGACGATCCGGACGCGGTCGTCGGTCGGGCGCAATCCGGGGGAACGCGCAACGTCGAGTTTTGTGTTCGTATTCGTCCGTTGCGGACCGTCCGAGCGAACCGACGGTTACGCGTCGCGACAATAAATTCGGTACAACAGTTTCGGCGCCCGCCAATCGTTCCGACCGATTTCCGCGGCGGGGCGTCAAACGACCGCGTCCGTTTACGAATTACGGGCATTTTTTTTTCCGTAGCGTAACACCCACCACCCCCCCCCGGGGATTTCGGTTCGCGGCGCGGACGAGAACGGTTTTGTTTTTTTCGCCGTTCGAACGCTGCATATTTGGGCACGCGAGCGCGGCCCGTCCGCGGCGTGGCGCCCCGCGCGAAACCCGTCGCGTCGCGCGGGGTCACCGCGTTCACCGGCCGTTCCGACCGTGTCATTGCCGCGGTCAATGCGCGGTCCGCGTCGCGTACGTTTTCGAAAGTCCGCGCCGCGACGGCGGCACGACGTTATCACGGCGGGAAATTCGATAACGGAAATTTCGGTTTGTTTTATTTTTATTTATTACACCGTTGGTATGCGTTCCGAACGATTTTGTCGCGTTTTCCACCGCACCGTCGCCGCGGCCCGCGGCGGCCGTCCGGGCTCGCCCCCTCCACAACGCGCGACTCCGCGTTATTACCACGGCAATGCCCGCAATGCCGACGCGTTCGCCAGTCGCCACTGTTCAGTCGCCACTCGCCGTTACTCCGCGGTCGGGAAATTCGAAAAGTCGCCCGCGCCACGCCGCCCTCCTGTTGTCCGCCCCGCAGCGGTTGTGTCGCGCGTACGTACCGACGCGGTCCGATCGTTATTTCGCCGCCTGCCTATAATTTCAAAGGTACATAATACATAATATTTTAATAGTAACGCTCGTTCTACATTACCAGGTAGCATAATCGTTCGTGAACGACGAACCGCCACCCGTATTATGGAGTTTAAGTTCAACATCCGGAACGTGGCCACCGAAGAGGTGCTGAAGGTGAACAATACGCTCACGGCCGCAGGACACGAGCAAAACGACGAGTGAGTAACCATGTGGTGGGATAACCACGCCGCGGCGTCGCCCGCCCGGGAATAAATCGGAATTTACGACCAAAGTTCGTCGTTTTTCACGTTTGTTGTTTTTCCTCCGAAACGTGATTTTTAATGCTCAATCCATCGGTATAATCAAAACTTACCTGTCGTTTACCTTTTGAAGTCGCTGTATATAAACCTCGAAAAATAGCATTACGGGCGTACCCGGAGACCTGGCGGGGTCGCTAGGGTTTGAACGTTTTTAACTCTAAATCTAAATCGGATTGACTTATTCTGTCTTCAATAATAAAAAAAAAAAAAAACTTTTTTTTATCAAATTATCAATAACTACAGATCATAATAATAAAAACGACCACATGTTGGATCAATTCCGAAAATGCTATGTTTCAAGATTTATGTACAATAACTATAAAAGTAAGTGTGATAGGTAAGTTTTGATTATACCAATAGATAAAGCATTAAAAATCACAAATTTTGAAAAATAAATTAAAAATGTTTAATTCTCATCAAGAAATACGTGAAACCGAAAAATCGAATTTCATGAAGTTTTCCCCCATAACTTCTAAACGAAGTTCGTCTGACTTTTATATTTTTAGATACCTAATGTACAGGCAAAAATACAAATTTTGAAAAAAAAAAAATCTAAAAAATGAACTTGGGTCATAAACTAGATTTATATACCCCTACCTGTTTAGAAAATATGAAAAAAATATTAGGTACCATTAAGATGCCATTTTATATGCCTCGGTAAAATCAATAAATTTGGTAAGATTTAGAGTGCTGAAGTTGAATACATTTTTTAGGTCATAGACCTTTCCTTAAAACAATATTATTTTAAACCATTACCTACTTAATAAACTTATTTATTGTAAGATATTATTAGTACTTATATTGTATATACAATTATGTGCGATCTTATATGAGAAAACTAATTGGGTAAAATGAAATATTTTAATTTTAAATTATGTTTAAAAAACCGAATTTATATCTATTGTGGTACAAAAATGTGTATAAAACAACATTTCAATACTTTCAACATGAAAATAGTCTATAATTTTTTTTTCTTCTTTTGTAAATACAATAAAAATTATTTTAATTATTGTAATTTACTTTATAAAATTAAAAAAAAAAAAAATGGATATGATATTTGGACATGTCCCTGAGAGAGAGAAGTTTGAAGCGGTAAGAATTATAATCAAAATAAACAGGAGAAAAGAGGTGTAAAGGAAAATTAAAAGTTAGTTGGTTGAACGTGCTTGAGTATGATAAGAGTACAGCCTGTGTATGGGAGGGGAGTTTGGGTCGAGTGAAAGTTTAGAACAAAGGTGGCCGACCCCAAACAGTTAGGATGAAGACGAAGTAGAAGAAGAATTATTGTACTTTATACTTTTTGTATACAATAATGGTATAATAGTATTGGATACATAAAAAGCACTATAAAACAAATACAAATATTAACATAATGAGGTTCCTTGCTAAAATATGAATATTGTTGATTATTTGGAATTACCTATTTATAGTTTATTTATGATGACAGCAAGCAGAACTTGGTTAATACAAAGTTGATTAAATAAACTTCATTGAGTAAACGGGATATTAAATTAAATTACTATCTATTATTGGTTATCGCTTAAAACATGTATTAATTACAAATGCATTTAAATGTTTCAATTTTAATCAGCAATTTATTAATAACATAACCCTTAAAGCCTCTTTGCTATGACCTAGGACATTAAATACTACTATTCGCCTATTTTTCACAAAATGTTCAGTTACTTTTATAAAAATAATTGGAACTACCATATTTTAGAATCAGTTATAGGATGTAATATTTTAGTTTTCCGATGAGAATTATAATTTAATTAAATATAAATAATAATACTTTTAACCTAATTGCTTAGTTTTATAATTTAAATTATGTACTTTGTAGTTTAAAAAAAATAATGTCTATGATTATTGATGAGATGGGCAAAGCATCAGCCGTGGCACAAGAATTAAAGTCACCGATTACCAGTGCCGACAAACTTGCTAAATCTGACCATATCATATACGTGATGACTGAACACAACACACCAGAGTAAGAACAAATGTATTATTGAATGTTGTGTGGTTTTTTCTTGTTTTCAAACTTCCCGTCATTAAATATGTAGTTAATAATTAATTGGTGTTTTGTATTATTTCTGTTTGTTTTATTTAGAAATTTCGGTGTTGTCGGAATTTTGAAGATGGGATGGAAAAAGTTGTATCTTTACGATAAAGCTGGATCACGATCAGAAGCTATGGTTTATTGTCTGTTAGATTTCTACGTTCACGAGTCAAGACAACGTAAAGGTTATGGAAAACGTTTGTTCGAATGCATGCTACAGGTATTTTTCTTAATATTTTATTTTAATATGGTATTATTACTATATTACTTTTGTATTTAAACAATTTTAGGATATCGATTTGGATGCCAAAGATTTGGCTATTGACAAGCCAACTAAAAAATTGTTGCAGTTCATGTGGAAGCATTATCAATTATCCAAATTGGTTAACCAGGGAAACAATTTTGTTATCTATGAGGAATTTTTTGAGGATACATGTAAGCATTTTTATAATATATTGTCTTAATTTTTTGTGAAAGTTACTAAATAAATTTAATGCTAAATCATTAATGTTGATTGATAGTCGATGAAAAGAACCTTGACAATAGTGGAAGCCGGTAAACTATTTATTTCTTATGTAAAATTTTTTTTCCAATATTTATTTAAAATTCTTATTATTTTTTTTTTTATTGTTATAGAGCATCAGCGTATAAGCGTCAGCCAAAGTTTGGACGGCACGGAGCTCACAAACACCATGATACAATGGGAGAAGTGAGTTCTTATATTTTAGATACATTTAGTTGTAATCAGTATACATTTTCATAAATTTCACAATTAATATATTAAAAACAAAAAAATTTATCACTAATTTATAATAAAAAAAAAAAAACTATAAGCCACGAGCTTTACTATGTATAATAATATAGTATTAGGGATAGACCATATTAGGTAATAAATTAATACAAAAAACTCCGGAACTTCCTCGAGGCTTATGCGCTTTATTTTATTAATTACCCAGGTAATATGTATTGTAAAATGTGGTTTATTTTTGTTGACAGTGTATTTTAACATTTTTTTTTTTAATTTGTCACCTATTAGAACCAACATATTTGTCTCAATTTATTGGTTTAGTTTTAAGTGAAAAATTAATTCATTGTTCATTTTAAATTTGATTATTATTTCATTTTGATTGATTTGGTAAAATATTTAATGTAATTTCAAAGTACACAAGTAAATAAAAAAGGTGATACTGCTAATGTGTTCTATTTTTGTAGGTGGAAAGTTGAGAAAGTAAGATATGTAGAATCATTAAATGTATATCTGAGGGTATATAACAATAAGTCATTGAAAATTAAAAAAAAAAACGATTCAGAGCAAGCTTTGGTTAAGCATATTTTGAGGAATTTCTCATTTTTTTTTTTTTTAATATTTTCATAAAAACTTAACTTTTAACTTTTATATAAAAATCACGACTAAGTTTATATTTAATATTTGATGTGTGCAATAAAAATAATTTATGATTAATCTTGTATCAAATTGTCAAATCTTCTGGAGAAGCCAAATAATTATTATCTATACAAAACCAAAGAAAAACTTTTAAAAAGCTATAAATAACTTGTAGTATTCAGTAAATTTCAGGATTATTTTTAACTATCAAAAAAATGACTAGACTTTTATCTAACAAGATACAATTTACTACGAGAAACTACCCCTAATGTTTATGATTTCAGCTTAGAATCTAAAAGTACATAATTACATGTCATGCGAGTAAATTATAATTTTCTTGTAAAAATAGTTTTATTTTTTTAAAATAAATAAATCCATTGTCGTATAAATTTGATAACTCATTTTAATAACTCTTGACCCTGTGTATATAATATTATGTACTAAATTAATTAAAATATTAATGGAAACAATTTAATTTTTTTAGATCGTACAGGGTGAAGGCGATGCTGCTTTTGTGAAACATCAATATAACCATGACACCATTTTGTAAATATTTGAAGACCTATAAAATAATTTTATAATGCTCAATTTTTAATATAAATTTTTAGTGTTGAAAACCAGTTCAAAGAGATAAATCCGCATCCTGAAACTGCAGGTGCATTTGAAACAGACAAAGATGGAAACTCTGTGAAGCGAGATCTTAAATATCATCATAACACTTTATGGTAACTGAATAGAACAGCTGTCGCCCTATTCAATTTTACACTTATCTGCATTATTAATTATTACTAATAAATGTTATTGCAAATGACTGCTTAATATGTAATTTATATATATTTTAGAGTTATACATTAATTTTTTTTATTATATTTTTTCCATCACTATTGTAACATGATTAATATACAAACACTTTGAAATTATAGTTTAATAAATATTTTTGCCTCTACTTGCATTCTTAATTTTGTTTATATATTTTTAGTTTTTATTTTTCAATTCTGTAAGAACTAGAGTTTTATAGACTATGAAATGATGGAGGTATGTCTACTTTTTTACCAGAACAAAATCATTTTCAGAAGATTTATTTTAGAATATTTAATAAAAAAAATAATAATAATATAATAATTATTATAACATAAAATACAATCATAATGACTAAAAAAATTGTTAAATATTACAGTGTGATCTTTTATGCTTATTACTTCAACTTGAGTAAAACTGTCACAGTTTGATCACACAACTTGCAAAAATTTGTTAAATTATTACTAGTTATGTTTTTAGTTATGTTAAATGAGAGTTCAAATGGATCCTGTAAAACTAAACCATTGAATTTATTAAAGTTTGATTTAACTTTTGATGAAAAAGTTCTAAACTTTGTATGTTTTACTCTGGACAAATTGTTGAACTTTTCAAAAAAATTTAACTTTTTCATACAAATGCCTGTAGATGTGCATAGTACATATTCCTTAAGCATTGTTTTTTGGGTGTAGAATTTGAAAAAACCTAACAACAGTTGGTAACGGTTATTGAATTTGATGCCACTCTTCCATTTTCCAATTGTGCAGTTCCAGCCTGTAATTTTTATATATATATATATAAATATTATTAATTGTATTATATATTTTTTTCTCCACAGCACCAGCTGATAATACAATACCTTCTATGTATTCTTGAGTATCGAATGTGGTGTTTTTCACAATCTCCACCAATGGCGGTATAACATTTTCAACCATCAAATAAAATAATACCAACCATACCAGTGCATAACTGGTAAATAATTTTCTATCTTTCAAATTATTTTGTAGAGCCCATTTCTTAGCAACAACACACACTATCCACTTTACAGTATCGTCCATTGACAGGTACATACTATGACAATGATTAGGGGCTTAATAGTTAGTATATTATTTTTACAATTATTCTGGCTGATATAAATAATTTATAATTCTGATAAGCTACTTACTTGATCAGTTCAGAATTGCATACACTCAAACCACTCTTGAATGACACATCACAATTGAGTTTGGTCGGTATGTGATAGAATTTTACAATCGGTACACGTGCGTCAGAAACTTCTTCAACGTCTTTAAATTCATTAGGTTTTAAAAGAAAATGTTCAGCAAACAAATTTACTAAATAGATTTGTTGATCTATATCATTTGCTATATCGCCATTAAACGTGTGTCCTGTAAATAAAAACAACAATCGTGAAAAAAAATTTTATATTAGAGATTTGTTTAGATTAATTATATACATTATAACATTTTATTTTTTATTTTTATTGGAAATACATAATCTATACTTAGAAAGGCACAATAAGTATATGTGATACAGGTTAGACATAGCATAAAAAATAAAAATTATTCTATTTAAAATACATAGAATCTTTGATATGAGCAGCCATCCACTAATGACACTCAAAGCTTGAATTTAAAATTTAACCATTCTATGTATATTTTTTATTTTTACATTATAAAATTAAATTTTAAATGTTTCATGTGTAAAAATGAAAAAATTCTCATCAAAAGTAGAATAAAAAAAGTATACAAATAAAATTTGTTTTGTTTAAATACATTCCAGTAAAAGACGCTTATTAGGAACATGGAAAATTGATAAAATCGCGTTATATGAAACAAGATAATATCTGTAATGTGGTTTTGAATCCACAAACACTTGGAACAGACTGACTAATGATTTAAAAGAAGAAAACAGCGAGACCCTCATCAAATATCTTCAGGAGAGTAGTCCAGCACAGTGCAGTTGAAAAAGGCTGTGAGTAGCAATTACTCTTACGAAGGTAGGAATCAAATCAATCAAAAAATTGACATTGTTAGATAGACACATGTTTTACATAACGTATAAGGTAATTTAAAATTTATTAAACAAAAAATACAGTACCCAATATATCTAGACCACAGGTCGCATGCGACTAAAGCTTTTTTTTTGTCCCCCCCCCAGAACTTATATTAAAAGAATGTTAAGAAATTTTTTCATTATTTGGAAGTATATACATTTTTGAAACGGTATTTTCTGCTATGAATTTAATAAAGTCTAAATCAAGAAACCATAATCACAATTTGTCTTTAGAAACATGTATCAGATTAACGACCACAGGGTGTTCAATTGATACTGAAAAGTTGTCTTCTGAAAAACAATGCCAATCATCTGAAATCTAAATTCCAAATATGATTAATGTAATCATTATAACTATTTGTTAATATTAATTTGTTATGTAATAATTAAGCATTATATAATATGTTTGTAACAAAATAAAACATAAATAATAATATAATTTATTTTTTTTTTTGGCGGCGCGCAGTGTTTTTATGAATGTGTAAATTGGCCTGCCAACTACAAAAGGTTGGACCACCCTACTCTATTGGAAACAATTGGTTAATTGACGCATTTTACCATGGTCCATGAATTTTCCTAATAAGATCTAACTCATTGTCTACTATTTATAATTAAATCAATGATTGTAGAAACAGCAAGTCATATTTTTCTATAAAACTGAGTTATTAATTAAAATGATGTATACTAAGTCAAATCTAACATATTTCTAACCATTTAGTAAAAATAATACTTTGTGAGGTATATTATGGTACATCACAATACGCATTCTTTCTAAACTAGATATGTTTTTTCTTCTAAATTATTTATATTATATAGTTTACAAACTATTCAAAACTTTTAAATAATTAAATAGTATTAGAGTTTATTTTTGTATGTGTTTGGACACATTTTGTGTAGCTCCAGATTTTAAGAAACGTGCAGTTGTAGTTATAATTTCTAAAATTTGAATTTATAATAGTTTAATCCTGTAGTAATTACAGATAGAATTGAAGTATAGAATGTACAATACAACAATAGTGATTACAGGACAATTTCCAAAAAAATAAAAAATATTTGAGCTGGCCATAGTTATATAAAGCATTGTACTCATCCTGAATCATCAATATATCAGTCAAACGGAATTCTATCAAATCTTTAAAATAAAGCCTGTTATATTATAGACAAAAGTTTTAACAATTAAAACCTTAATTTATTTTACCTATATCTATGTATAGATCCACATCACTATTTACATTTGCTAATCCATAAGTCTTTGATCCAAAAACATAAATCTCCAACGATGAAGTCAAACTCAAAACATTTTTTAACGCACACAGTGAATGACACAATCTGTTGATATTTTCTTGTGTTTTTAGATTTGAGTTTGATGCCAATTGTATAGAGATCAATTCACTTTCGATTACATTACATAATGTATTCCAATTACAAAACAGGTTTTTTGTTTCAGATGACAACATTTCTCCTTAAAACAAACAGTTATTACAATAAATAAATTAGTTTTTCAATGTAAACAAATAAACTATTATACCTTCATTAAGTTCTATACATTTAATTTTAAAACCATATTGTTTTTTCAAAGACTCTGAGTCATCAAGCAAGTCTTTAAATTTCTCTCTAAAAATAGAAATCATCAGTAATTAAAACTTTACAATATTTAGGTAATGAATAAAATACTAATAAATCCACATACATATTCTTAAATAGAACAATGAATGAAGTACTTAGATTTAAAATTTGTTTGAATTTTCCATATTTTTTTTTTAACAATTTGTTTAACAAGTAATAACCATTTTGTTTTAAATTGCTGTTTACATCTAGACATATAACATAATATTATAGTTACAAGTTAAATTACTCAAACAAGTTGTAATAGTTTTATAGTGTACATAACTGCATGTTTTAGTTTTAAATGATAAATTATATTTTCTTATTAATTTCACTTGCATTATGAGACTAAAATATATTTATACTTTTATATACAGTTATATACAGTAATAGTAAAATACAATTCAATTTTTCCTATAAAACAATAACAAATATGAGGAATTAAATTCACCTTTGATTTCTACATAGTTTTTATTATTTATGTTTGGTTTTTGGTTTTGTTCAACCTGCTCTGTTAAATCATTATTATAAATTATTGGTTTGTTGGAATCTTTATTCTGTTTCACGTATGCTTTAAATTTAACCATTACATTGTGTTCTATAGACTTATGGATATGATCATTAAGATCATTTGAAGTACTGATATAGTAAATTTGACAAATGGCACAGTTGAAAACAAATAAATCATTAATTTCATTATGAAACATTGTATCATGTTTAGTCCAATCTTTATCCTCAGACAAAACTAAATCACAGATGGCACAGAAAAAAACCTTTGAGTTAACAAATATATTCATTACCTCTGACATATCATTTAACAATTCAAAATTTTTCCTTAAATAGTTATTAAGAGAAGATATTTTTGGTTGTGTCAAAAGTGCATCTATGAACCTTGAAGCAATTTTTTTTTTATTACAATGCACCAAATTTTCTTTAGACTCAAATGTTGAAGAAGACCGACAACTTACTAATTTCTTTGCATTATTTATGCATTCTGTATCTTTCTTACTTGCACAAGACTGTTTACCTTCAGTTTCAAAAGATTCTAAACTTGAAGAACATAATTCACTACTTAAATTTTGAGATACCAAACTGTTACTGTTGTATTGTTCGAAATTGTCTTCATCATAATCACTGTCTGTAAGAGGCATAAAGATACATCCATTGGTGCTGTTTATGAGGTTTTTATCATCAACATTAGGTTTTAAATTTGTCAAATGATTAATAAATACTAACTCTTTTTCACTATCGGGTTTAAAGTAATTTAAAATAATATGTTCGCTACTAACAAGATGTTCATTGTAGTCAGATTGAACGTTGAATACTATTTCACAAGAAGAACAATGAAATATTTTTTCAAATTCAATATTTGAATGTTTACAATATCTATTGGTCGGAAAATCTTTACATAAACCACAACAAAATAAAAAACCAGAGCTAAAAAATGTATTTAATTGATTATACGTTGCAACCATTATTTCAGGGACGTATAATATATGTCCAATTGCATTATTATTTGACAACATTTGTTCCTTTATAATATAATCTTCTGATCCATAAAATATAGTTTTACTAGTGTAACAGTAGTATGAATACAATTTAAACTTCTCTTTGCTCTGTTCTATCATTCTTAAATGTAGAAAACTTATTATATGATCTACCCAACATTGGTACATATCTTCTTCCTCAGCTGAAGAATTTTGAAAATCACATAAATTGCAATTTATTGTTTTTAACGGAATGTTATTATTTAAAAACGTTATGTTTTTTGAAGAAATACATTTAATATGATGATTATAAATAACAATGTCCGAGAACTTAATTATTTCATCACAGATAGTACAATAAGATTCATTTAAAACAGAGCAATTAATAAAATACTTAGAAATGTGTAATGGTAGTTTAGGAACTTTAGAAGCAGATAATCTTGAAGTTCTGTCGCCATTTAAACACCAAAGTATTATATGTTCAGAGCAAATCTTATGAACAAAATAAGATAATCTTTTGGAATCATAAAATGTTATCAAACACGAGTTACACTCAAAACGAACAGAATCATCAGCAGCAGCTTTACAGTTTTTTTTTATGTGCAAATCAGTCATATTGAAAGTGTAATTAGAACAATCTGCACAATAAAAAATTGTGTTTTTATGATGGATGTTGAAGTTTTCATAAACATAGACCATTAATTCTGATAGTTTTGACAGCTTTTTAGGTTTACATTTATGTTCTAATATAGAGTTTTTAAAACCGTACATATGAGTATTGCACGAAGTGCAACTATATGAATAGCTAGTGGTAGCACGGGTATCAAAACTGTTTTTAATATGGTCATATTTAAAGAAGTGATTTTTAAAATTGTTAAAATTATTAAATTCAAAATGACACAGCAAGCAATTAAATTTGTAGTTTGGTATAGTAGTTTTTTCTATTTTCATCGCTCCATTACATACCAACAAATGAAAAATAATATGATTTGCCTCTAATTTACAAATTGCATTACATTTTATACATTTTGCTTTATTTCTGTTAATAGTAAATGATTGCATAAATATTGGAAGTAACTTTACATTATTTGATCCATGATTATTGTCAATAACTGACTCTGCTGCATCGAGACTAAACAGTGTAGACATTGTAAACTATCTGTAAATGAAAAAAACATTAGCAAATTTTTGTGAATTATTCAACCTATCTAATGGTATACAAATTATTGAACTATAAATTAAAGGTTCTTAACCATTTTCAGATTATGGACTCCCTAAAAGTATAAAGCATAGTATTAAGCCACGGAATCCCCCCCCTACAAAAAAAAAAAAACATTATTTTATTATAATAATAAAATTAAGACTTACTAATTAGTTGACAAAATGTTGTGATCAATCACATTTAGGATGCACACAAGTGATTTTTTTGAGTTTCAGTTTAAATAATAAAATAATAGACTAAAAGCAAAATTATTAAATGGTTACTACTCATAAATAAATAAATAAATTTGTCGCCTGAAGTATTAAAATATGTGTACTGTATGACCGGTTTCAAATTAAGAATTCATCATTAGGTAAATCAGTCAAAAACATAAATAAAAGAATACATAGAGAACAAATTATACAAATTGGTTATTTTACATAGAAATAATTTATTTTAATAGGAGAGATTATTTAAAATGAATTATTATTAGATATAGATATATTAAAAAATATAAATTATCTAAAATGTACTGTATATTGGTACAATACATTGTAAAATCGGTTTATACATTTAAAATATTATTTAAATTATTTTTCTTTATTTCATTGTGCACATGTAATTCTTTTAAAATTGAATTAATGTAAATGTTATTTTGGGTATTTAATATTTCTAAGTCTGTATTTATCTGAATAATTATATTATGGTTATTTAATATTTTCTAAAATATATTAATTAAAATTTGAATAAGGGGCAGTCTTTTTTAATCATATTTCAGAAATGTGTTCTTTATATCTTATTTTAAAATTTTTATTTGTCTTAACTATATACAATTCATTACAATTAATTACATTTAAGTTTATATATACTATCATTTTCAAAAGAAGTGAGATTTTTTTGTGAAGATTTTAGTTAGATTGTTTATGTTTAATTAAATTATTATTAGTCTTAAAAGTTATTTTTAGATTATTTCTATTATTGTTCAGAATTTTTTAGATATATTATTTTGATATTTCATACCTACAATAGTTAAAAACATTATTTGGCGAGTAGTGTATTATTTTTCCTTTAATACGTTTATGCATTTTTTAATAGTATTTAAATTGAAATTATTTCTATCGGCTATATTATAGATAATATTGAGCTCCTGTTGATAATTATGTTTATTTAATAGAATACGTTCAAGCCTATAGAATATTGAATTAAAAAATTATATTTTTGGAGAATAAGGGTGATTAGAATCATGTGGTATTATAGCATCAGTTTGTATAGGATTACCACAAATACCTGCATAAACCAAATTTATTTTTCAACACGGAAACTGTAAGGTCTAAGAAATGTAATTTATTATTTGTTTGTATTTCAAGTGTAAATTGAATGTTTTAATTTATTTTGTCTAAATAGTTAACTAAATTTTCTCCTATTTGAACCTCTAAATAAAATAAAGTGTCAACAACATAATCTATAATATGCTTTTATGGACTGTATATTTTGTTGTTAATAATGTTATTGGTTTCATAATTTTGCATGTAAATTTCAGATAAAAGAGCACTTTACGGTCTAACCATAATTAACCCTTATTCTTTTTGCAATTTACTATTATATCGGAAATAGTTTTGATTACAAAATTAAATAATTAATTACATTTAATTATTGATTGAATAATTTCTTGTAATTCGTTAGAATGGGTATGAAATTTATTGCTGTGTATATTAGTTTATTTTTTTAAAAATGTACTATTTTGTGTTTAGGAATGGATGTATACACATTTATTTTACATCAAGAAAAATCATTTTGTAACATGGCACAATATTAATTTTATTAATTTTTTCAATGAAAACATAAGTGTTTTTTTTTTTTTTTTCTTATAGAATTATTAGTATGCTTGTTTAATTTGACTTTTATGAGTCTAAATATTTAACAAGGTTATACAATTTTAAAGTTTATAAATAAATAAATATTGAACGAATCAGATTATCTTGTTCATATAATTTTATGAATTGATGTAAGTGTGGCACATCTATTTTGTTATCAGATTTTAGTAATATTTTCTTTTGGACTTTAGGTATGATTTCTTTCTAATTTGTTTAGTGTAAATTAAAGTTGGGTCACATGTTAAGTTTTAAATGTTATTATTATTTATAAAATCTAAAGTTTTTTTTATGAATTTTATTAGTGCAAATGATAACAATAACATTAGATTTATCCACTGGAACTATTTCTGAATTATTTATTTTTAATTTATTCACTATGTAGTTAATAATTGTATTTTGTCTTTTAATTATACTATTTTGTTTTAATATTTTATTAGGTTAATTTTTGTAGTTTTAATTGATGCTTTTGATTAAGTTATATCTTGTTTGATTTTGAAATTTTATATAATTTATAAGAGATTCACATTGTATAAATAAATAAATGTGTTGCCTCGAGTATTATATGTGTAATGTATGACCAGTTTCAAATTAAAAAAATCCATCGTCAGGTAAAATCACAAAATCAGAAAGTTTAATGTTTTGATATGTATCAAATTTATACTCTTTATTTAATAAATTGTTTTCAGCTTTATTGAAAATTAAGTTAAATTAGTAACTCGTGGTTGTAAAGAATGTGGGTTTTTAAATTTAAATTTTTGTGTATTTTGTACTACTAAAATATTAATTTTATCATTAACACTATGCCATTTCTCATTTTTCTTATGTTGTAATTTTTTTTTTATGATGGCAACCAATAAAGAAAATTGATACTTTTAATTTTGGTTTACTTGATAAAAAACTCGCAGGCATTCAGTGGACCATCTGTGTAATCAACTACATAACCCGGTTAAGAATACCCGTTATAAATCATTATTTCAAAAGGATTATAACAATCACTGTGTCTTTACTAAAAATTTGTCAAGATGTTTGTATGAAATTATTCTTAAAAATCTCTAATCATAATAATAATAATAACACTAAGAAATCTAATGGCATACATAGGCACCTATAGTTTCGACAAATCAGCTAATATATTTAAAGTAAATTTGGATATAAAAATATATTTATATAATTAATACGCCTACCTCACTATGTAGAGGATATCTTTTCTACATTGTGGCCTACTTAAATACTACCAAATGCCGGCCAACATTTATTATTTTTTTTTATCTCGATAAGTAAAGATATTTTTATAGTCAAAAATTAATATACTCATCCCACAAGTAACCGGTCGTGTACCATGTATCACAAAGTGTTATTTTGTGTCAAATAGTAATGTACTCGTTAAAAATCTAGAAACGGCTATAAACAACAGAAATGTACAACGTGCTATTATGTACTTTGAAATTTATTTTATTTTAAATCACGTACCACTTTACCTACTTATAAACTATGATAAGTACTCATTTAACTCGACCGAATGTTGCGCTCATCTCATTCGTACAGAATTCATATTTCGTGGATCACTTACAGAATTGTATTACGTAGGTATCGATTCGAAAGGAACGCCGGAAACATTACATACAAAATAAATACATGTATTTATGTGTTCGAAACGCAAAACGGAACGAAATTTGATTAAGCAGTAAATATTAAAAAATGGAAAAAAAAACGGTAGTATACTATAATGTACTTTTCTATGGCGAACAACATTTACGACGAATGCGTAGACAACGTCGCAGAAAATATTGCATTATCAATGGCGGGATTTAGTACCCGTTATCGTGATATCACATTTGGGTACGCAAACGATTAGAACTAGACGAGACCTCGGAGCATTATCATTATTATCTCGCATGGCTATTCGCAAAACAACATAAAACACGATACCTATGGGATTTTAAAAATAAATAAACGATAACGGATTATATGGGTAATATCGCTGAACCACGGGCCAAGATAATCATAGTCCGGGCCGCAGATAAAGGAACGTGGCGAATACAGCGACGACCACGACGACCCGCGACACGGCGGGCGGACGGCGACTTATCAAAACGCGACGCGGCGCAATTTACGCCGCGGGGTTACCGGGTTAAGGCGGGTTCACGCTACGCCGCGTCGTGTGTGTGTGTTCACGTTCGCGTCGACGTCCCGCGCGTTTTCCAAAACTATAAAATATCGTTGGTGGTGTACACCAATGATACCGACGATTGTTATCAATTATACGAATATTTTACTTGATAATGGTAACGGTAATAAATTCAAAATCTAAATACCACGAATTGTGACGAACGATCTTGATTCGCGCTAGAGACATAGAATCCGTATTCCGTGTATACGTTTTTATTGTTTCGAAGATTTCTGTGATTTTGCTGTTCGGCGCGACCATCTCTCACGCCATTGGTCGCGTCGACAGTCGCGCCTGTAAAAAATAGCGTTCCTCGGTAAATTTTTCGCATGCGCAGTGTTCGTCTATTCACGTTTAATCGCGTAGGAGGTCATGACGTTCAACCCCCCCCCCCCCATTGACCGATTACTGTTTGGACGTTTGACGATTTAATTTAATAACTGCTTGTGAATTTGATATCCAGAGTCCGCCCAGTAGCGGCTCGTGGTGTTAAAAACAAGCGGTACGCAAATTAATAATTAACAAGTATTGACTATGGCGTAGCATGTTTTTCTTCATTTGTATTACGGGAGAATTCAAAATAATATCTATTGAACTTATTTTTTAAAAAAAAAAACTACGTGTTAATTCCAAGAGGAAAGAATTCAATATGACGGGAAATCAGAATACAAATGGAAAAAATGGTAAGATAATGGGGACGGGTGCAGCCACTGGTGTAGATAGGAAGTTGGGAAGGTTGGATATAGACGGGAATTTAATGTATATCTGTACGCAACGATAAACCATTGCTTACGAAAAAACGATTCTGAGCGGAGTTCAGTTGATAGTGATGCTTTGTCAACATTATATATGTAATTGCGTAGTAAAATAATCAAATAGGCTTTATGTATTTTCTTTGATAATATTTGTTTATTGTTTTACCGATTTTCCCAATTTTCCTACGTTTTTCCCGGTTTTTCACATTTGTTGAGAAAACTCCTGGGAAAATCAAAAAATGATCACTTTATAGCACCTTCCCAGTCGAATTTCCTTTTAGAAACATTGCTACCATTATAAATTGGAGCAAAATCGCTAATAGAAAAGTTGTCCACAGAAAAAAAAACATCTTTGTAAAACCATCAGCTTCTTCGCTCCACTCAGAATCTAAACTGATCCACTTATTGTAAAGAGTATGTCAGATTTTTTAAATAATTTGCCTTACTGTCTAAATAATTGTTGATATTTGCCCTAAAATTATGTACCTATTATGTATCTTTTGCCCTCTTTTTACCAGTCCGCATACCAGTATATCTAATTTCATCGTATTCTATGTAACCACTTAAAAAAATGAACACTTGGTTTATTTCGTCCGAGTTTAGATATTGTACAGTATTACTGTAAACAAGATCAAAAACATTTAGAATACAATATTGCCACGCAAATTTAATATTATAATTTTGTACTACTTTTTGTCTAATAAATTAAATTAATATAATATAATATTTGTTATGCATAGAACATATTGAACATAATTAACTGTTTACGTAAGGACGTACTTAGGAGCAACTGTAATTTTAAATATTTTTAAATTTCGTTCTAATTATTTAAACAATTTTATTTATTGGGATCAGATACAGAATCCTTTGGAATTATTTAAGTTTACGACGAAAAATGATTAAAAATGTACCATCAATTATTATTACCACTATTCATTATTGAATATGTCTAATAATATTGTATAAGTACGACAAAATGATTGCCTAGTAAAATAAATACATTTGAAATAGGTGCTAGAAAAAATATTAACTCCTCCCCATCCCGAGAAAAAAATATCTAGACACGTTCCTGTACATAAAAGTCACTTGTCAAACTGTGTTTGAAATATTTCTGTAGGTGCTTACTGCATAATATTGACTGCGGAAAATAATTGCGCGTTTCAACACAATAATATATGCCACTGCAGTACTCCGGCTGTAGCAATAGTGTCCTTAGTGTAATTGGTTTTTATCATTTTATAATAAAAATTACGAGGTAATTTATTGTATTATATCGATTTCAACTTTTATAATATTATTATGTTTTATACATTAACGTACTACACTATTACACGTTTGCTATATACCTACTTGCCATATGTAACCTCGAACCTTCTTGTATTATTATTGATTTCGTACATTTCGTTAACTGGTTTTCGTGCCGCTCCAGCAATGAACACGCCGTTTATATTATTATGTTTCGTTTTCAGCGAGTTTTGTCGAGTTGGCCTTTCAACAATATTATAACCACTCGTCGTTGGTTGGACGTTCACCGGACAAACAGTTTTAAATTTAAATACTTGTTAGAAAAATAAAAAATTAATAAAACTGTTTTTTCAAAACTTATACTGAGTATTATAATAGTGCCTTCTCTTACGTCGTATGGTGACGATTTTTGGAAAAATTTTTGTGTCTTATGTGTCATCATAGGCACGGATCCAGAGCAACGATTTAGAGTGGGAGGGCACCAACGGTTTTTCTACAACAAATACAATTACAATGTCTATGGTTTTAATTATAGCACCATTACAGTTAAATCAATATATATATTTGTATTAGTCCAGGACCAACTTTGATAGCGACGTGGCGCACTTGTGGTGTCAACAATTAACAGGTAACTACGAAATTGCAATATTGGAATCACAGTCCATAGATATGTATAATATATTATATTATTATACATATCTGTGATTGAAATATAGTAACATCAAGATCTATGGAATTATAAAAAAAATTTAAAGAAATAATATGTCTAAAAGGGGTTTGGGCCCCTTACCTCCCTGGATCCGTCCCTGTGTTGGATCCAATAGGTGAGTAAGAAAGTCGTTTTCATTGGTGTTTTCTTAATAATTGAAAAAACGGATCAAATTTTGATGAAAATCGTATATATTTTGAATGTTTAATGTATAAACGAACTTCACTCAGAATCGTCAGCAATTGCTTATCATTGCTTATAGATATAAATTAAACACTTAACTTTATGTATACACTACCTTCCCAACTAGACATTTTCAAAATTGAATTTACTTGTACAGAAACTTATACAAAATTAAGCCTCTATTCCCTGGGATCAAAGCTATAATACTTTGTGTTAAAAAATCTAAATTTTACAAAATCATTAATCATAATTAAATTATTTTTGAAAATTTTATTTTACTGAGTATTTATTTGGACACAGAAAATCTCCTTGAAAAATTACCTGATGGGTACCCACCATAAATTATCACAATGCAATTGAAGTATATAATTATTTTATTTTGATGAATATTGGTTCGTATAAATACAAGTACCTATACAATAAGTATTACCTAAACGACTATACCTTTTCGAATTTGTATAGGTACTTTAAGTATAATCAGTGATTATATACATAATCAATAATATAATGCACTGCAACGATGTGTATATAAAAACAAAAATGTACAGATAGGCTCAAAATATTATTGAAAATATACGATTGAGCGCGGAATAAATAATAACCAATATAAATATATAATAATTTATTAATTATAAGGAACATTATTTCGATACAGATGCAAATGATTAATTTCAACAATTGTAGATACGTCATGTACCTAATACAATTTAAAAATATTAAAAATCTTAGCGAATAATTATAAATTGGTAAATTGCAAGTATATAATAATAATCGTAAATATACCTATATGTAATATTTATTGAAAATATTATATTATTAACATTTTTTTTTTTTTTTTTAATCAGCAAATATGGGCACTGTGTATTTATTGGACTTATCGGTGTCTCCGATAAAAGGTTCGGCGATTACGAACACCCCATCCGATTCGGAAGCACTCGAACTCATAGGAAACTGTTCGTTGTATTCTCTCATCAAAGAACCTCTTTTGCTATTGACCCTGCGAAAATACGTGTTTGTGAAAAAAAAAACAGTATATTAGAGGATTTCTTAAAATGACTGTTTAGGGAGAGAAATTTACACAAGTGTCATGGATATGACATTATTATCCTGATGATGCTACGATTACTGTATTAGCTATAGACCATATTGCGTACCAGTTTTTCACCACCTTAACTACTTCTTTGAGTTTTTTGTACAGTTTTTTCAAATCTTTTCTGATCTTTTTTATTATCTCTTCGACATTGCCTACGTCTTCGTCGTCGTCTGGAGCGTCACCGTCCTCTTGCCTGCCCAACATTCCATCGTTGTTCCGGTTCTGCAGTTGCGTTCTCCACGTGGACGCGAACCAATCGGATGACGCGTAATCGTGTTCGGTTTCAGTTTCCGGTTCATTTTCTAAGGTCGTTCCATCCGGTCCGTTGTCGGCAATATTGTACGTCTGCGGTGGTGGTGGCTGCGGCGTGGAAACGAGCCGCGTGAACTCTTCGATTTCCTTCATGAGTCTTTTGGTCTTCTCCTCGTCCGCACTGTCATATGACTGGGTCTTGCTGATTTGATTGTACAGCTTCCAGTCCTCGTTCGGTCCGACTTCGTTTATGTCCTGGCTATCGTTTTCCGCCTTTTCATCCTCGAACGGAGGCTGAACCGGCACCGCCCGGCAAACGACCAACGCTGATGCCACCAACGTCACGAGTACCGACGATAACTGAAAAGTCCAAAAGATCAGCATCACGCAATAACGTCCAATATGAAATATATTAAATAGTGAAATATTAAAATCTTTGGTCCCAGGAAAGAAATGCTAAAGTCGGTGTTGTATAATTTTCAATACAATAAACTTAAATTTTGAACATTTCTTAATGGCAAAATGGCACAATTGTTACAGCTAAATTGCTAAATAGCCTAACCATTTGGCACAGCGAACTATGGTTTTCAGAAATGGCTGCTTTTGTATTTTTTGCGGTCGGCGGTTGTTTTTTTGTGAAATTTGAATGATAAGGGAAAAGTTGCTAAACGTATATTCAGCTATATTCAGCTATATTCAGATGGGCGGTGGTTATATATATATATATATATAAAAAAAAAAACTATTTAATGTTAAATTATTTAAAGTCCACGAGGCCACTGAATCTAAATAATTTTTTTTAAAAAAATTTAAATTATCTAAAGTCCTTAAGACTTTATGCTAAACAAAAACAACGTCATAACGACTTAAGATATTTTAATTTCCATTATAATTTGTGTTGGAATATACATACACTTATGTAATCTAGATTCTAGAGCAATAAATAAAGGGGAAAAAAATTACACACGAAAAAATTCCAAAAATTGACTTTAGCCCTTCCTTCCTAGCTTTGAATATATAATTAAGTATAAGTATATTTGACACGTATATTTTAATGATTGATATAATAATTTGAACAAATTTACTACCACTTGCAGTTATTATAATTTCCCATACCCGTGTCAAATGACGATCACGATGACGAGGTGGAAACGAGAAAATACAGTTATCTCTCTTCCTTTAATAAAATATGTCCACACTATTGGTAATTACATATTTTATGTATTATGTAACAAGGGCTTTTTTTTTTTTTTATAGAAAAAGACTAATGACTTGAGGTAACATATTATTGTTGGTTAAAACAAACACTTTCTATGGCGATATTAATATTATACGTGTACAATATATTTCAGTAACATTTAAAACTTATTATTTGACAGGACGTTTGACCTCAAAAAACCACTCGCTAATGCCTGATTTTTCGTATACAACATAGTATACACCATATAGAGACTTGATGGCAAATATATTAATATTTATCAAACCTCTTCAACTATATATCGTATTAAATAATAAATTACCAATCATCGAAATATTTATGAGTTAATGGGAAATTACTAGTTTTCTTTTTTACGATACACATTATATTCTGACGCATCTCAGTATTCGTGCTTTTTCGGTGAAGGACGCCTACTAGGTATGAAGTTGTTATGTGCGTGTCTTAAACTATAATATATGAAATTAATTTTTATTTATTATTTTGAATATATTATAGTGGTACTATAAGATGATTAGGTATCATATAAATAATAATATTACGTTATTCACTTAATTTTAAATACAATAAAATACAAATAAAAAAAAAAACCGGCCTAAAATAATTTATTAAATTTGATCAAGATAATGATATTATATATGATTATCGTCGGATGATGTCATGAAGCTTGGAAGTAAAATCTTAATATTTCTTGTCGCTATTTTTTCACTAGATATTTGAATCGTTCAAAAAAATGCTGCCGAAAATATTTTTGAACTTATATGTTAAATGTGCAATAAAAAAGGGATTTCTGTGAAAAGAAAATAGCATACCTGTTTTAATACAATAAATGTGTTAACCTATACGACCTAAATGCCAATATGAATATAAAAGTATAAATATGGTAAGCTTAGCTAGTTGCTGTAGGTACTGCAAGAGCCGTATTTTTAGTCGAGGAAATATTATTTAAGCATAAGTAATACTTATGACTTATAAGTAAGATATATATCTATAACAAGACTTATGAGAGAGGAAAAATTACTAGGGACGTAAACTATGCAGAGTGGTTTTTTTTCTAGTGGGTAATTAAATTAGTCATAATTTGACTGACTGATTAAACATGAAAACTTATCATGTCTAATAAAGTAACACTTATTTGTTAACATTCGAAAACAATTATTTTATACTTTTTATTATTAATATATTGTTTGATTTGTAATTTTGTATGGATAAGGGATGAAATTGAATTTATTTATAAACTGTTACCTGCTCCAACACGGATGTATATTTTTATTTTTAGTCTGGCGAAAAACATTCTTAAAAAACGCATTAGTGAAAAGTTAAAACGATCGATTTTTCTAAATTACCGTCTGTGTTCGATTTAAAAGTTCTCTAGACTTAATATAATAAAAGTCATACGTGCAATTTTTGAATAGTTTTTATGCCGTTGCATAATAAAATAAATCAAAAATCAATAAGCACTCTATATACAGTTTATACACCTATGTGTTTACCGAAGAGTTGCAATTGTAGAAATGTGGAAACACCTTTGTTGCAATGTTAGGTGCAAAAAGGACAGAAAAAACAAATGTTAGTAACGATAATATATAATATAACATATTATAATTTATATATAATAAAATTATAACGTATAAAATATAATAATATATATTAGATATAATTTGTACCGTTAGAAAATGATCTTCAATTAACGATTTTAACACGGTATAGATATATATATAGTATAAAGATTGATTCTAAATTATTTAATTGGTATGTCTATGTAAATCTATACTAAATCGATTAAGCCAGACCGTGTTGTGCTGCAGACAATTGCGTCCATCAGCTATATTATTAAATCGTTTCCTATAAATAACACGAATTATATAACTGTGCGTTTCCTTCACCCTCGATTAAAATTATTACGATCAACTAATATAATTTTATAATCAGTAATCGTCCATAACTGTAGTCTGATTGAACGAAAAGAAAAGAGCTAATTTTTATCTCTGATAATCCGCCGGGTTTTTTTTTTATTAAATCTATTCGATTATACAGGTAGGTAGTAAATTGTATTATTTGTACCGCTTGTTGTGCCTTCTTGAAATTTATTGTTACCAATTTTGTTCATACAACAATTATATTGAAACACAAGAACTGTATAAAATACAATACCAAGATTCAAGAGATAAAATGTACGATTTTCCTGTTTGTTTTTTAAAGATTTTAACAATGAGAGATTGCCAGGGTTGGGCAAGAAACTAAAAAACATGTATTATGATATAAAATAAATATAAAATAGCTACCTTAAAGTTTTTAGTTTTCATAATTCAATACTAATTTGATGAATATTTTATCATAACTTGTACGACTTATTTTAATTTACAATAAATACAATTTAATAACAATTAATTAATTAAGCTGAACATTTTGTTTTAAACACCATATAAATATATAATAATATATAATATATATATATATATTAATACTAGCTATTTAAATGTTTATTAAATGTTATTTGTATTAAAATGTTAACACGAACCACTTGTTCGGTTTTAATATATTATTTAAAATTATATCAAAAAATATTTATATTATGACCTTAAGCACAAAAAAATACTTGATAATATAACAAAAAGTATCCAGATATAACATACAATTGCATCTGTAATACTGTTTATTGCTCAATCCTGAATACCCTAACCTAAGGGTTCTAAACCTTTTGAGATCCAGGCCCTCTTTTAAACTATTACATGCGATCACGCCTCTTCCACTACTATAAAATTGGAATATATATGTAAATGTTCCGTGGGGTTTTAAAAATTGTCTAACCTCCCCAGGAAATTTTGTCACGCCTCTCTAAGCAAGTGCGTCCCAAAGGAAAAAAAATAGGTTGAGAGCGTTTGCCTTAACCTATATAATTAGTATATATAGATGTTTAAGTAATTTGTCATATTGTTATAATGAATTTACTTTTATAAATATATCAATAAACAATAATTGCTGAATGATAAAAATACAAATATGTAATAGCACTTATTCAAAAAAAAAAAAAAAAAAAAAAAAAAAATAGGTATATTTTAAAATTACATATTCTACAAAAAAAAAAACATTTAAAATTAGAGAGAAAGGTTTATATAACTATACATTTCTGTTACATTTTTGATTATAAATAAGAAATGTAATTTTCAAGTAAAATTATATTACTTAAGTACAATTGTTTATATTATATTGATATTTTACAAGACTTACCATGGCGGTCTTCATATTTTTCTGTGTACCGGTGACGCGTATTTTTGTGTGTAATAGTTGAACTTCGATTGCGGAATGAACAGGATTGATGTCTTATTGCTCTTGATACACGTTTATGATATCCAAAATCTCATAAACGGAGGACCTTGAACGGTATAATAATCTATCGAATTACTATTTCACGTTGCACTATACCTAATTAAAAAACAAAAACAAAAAACGTCCGCATTTCATTTCAAATCACATAACAAATTGTCAGTTGATTGAAAAGAAATTATAAGTATCGCTTCGATAAAATGAAATTTCAATTTGTTGCACTACGCATTACACGGTTTGACTGATTTTCGGAGCTCATTGGCGACGCAAGATGACTACAAACGGAAATATTCTGATACGCACTGCGAAACCTTGAGACGGACGCATTTTCCAAGCAAATATACCTACTAATAAGCGAATCCGATTATATCTTTCTCTCGCTTCAATGCAATAATACTATTCCACGTAATATCCGATCCGGCCATTTCAATGTCGTCTTGTTTTCGTTTCTTCTTTTTATGCGATAACTTTTAATATTAATTTATTAAATCTGTTTTGAAACCATAACGATGATCTATTAAATTAATATAAGTACCCCCGTACGCAAAATAAATATAGGTACGTACATAATATTATAGATTTATCGCTTATTTTGCATACTTACATAATACTGTGAAACATTTTACGTGATGTCAGTATTGCCAGTAAAATATAAACATTATTTTTTTTTATATATTTACTAGTACAACTTGTCAATCTTGTGAATGTGTATGCGACCTAAGATATTTATCCAATTTTTTAAAATAAAGTCAAAATTGAACGCCCTCCCGTGTGTCAATCACGATAGTTAAATTATGTCAAGCTTTAAATTTATTTTAATAATATAAACTTAGATAACTGCAGCTATATAAATGGAACAATTATATTTCGGGTGTCGGGTCGTTAAGTTATCAGAAAAAAAAAATCGTTCACTGAAAGATTTGATTTTTACCTTTTTGTAGATCTTTCATCTTATTCTTGTTTAAAAATTTCCTTTTTTCAAGATTTAAAATATTTTTGATGAACCAATCAAAATTATTTGTAACTTTAAATAGGGACCTGTTAGGTCACCAGTTAGCCACCCAAAGGTTGAGAAATGCTGATTATATATAAATATTTTTACTGCAAAAATAGCCGCGATAAGTGAGATATTTTGATTATTTTTCTAAAATGTCCAATACACACGGTTTTACCATTACAATAATAATTGTAGTAATACCAATACGTGAGCATGTATTTAATGTACCAATGTACTTATCTGTTGTTTATTGAATACACAATAAAATGTTGTTGTTTGTTTTGGAGAGTTTTCAATATCAAGGTTATTCAGTCATTAGCTAGTAGTACACTATAATAGTGCTAGTACCTATACATGATACGAATGCAAAATATACTTTTTCAATCTGTATAGTGATTGAAGTTCTGTAATTTATTATTAATATAACTTAACTATCATTAATTTCTAAAATATTTTTGTTACTTCGTAAACGTTTTCATATCGCACTTGTTCTCCTGTTACCTACTTGACGTGGTTTTGCATAACAGATCGGGGTTTATTTTTGATTAAAAGTCCGACATGAGATCGAACTCGAGTTGAGTAGAGAAGCGAACCTCGTGCTATACTGGAAACCATTTGTTTTTATCATTTTATGCAAATAACATTTCTAAATATTATTTTCCCAATTTATACAATATACAGAATAAACCTCCCTTTATATTTTATTTTTAGTGTTTGGGTAATGGTTTGTTAACAGTTTGCTTAACTAGGTTTAATAGGCATTACTAGGTTTATAGATCTATGAGTGATTTGTGTCTATATTATAGATAATACGATTCTGTAGAAAATTAATAAATTTAAAAAATAAAATACAATTAAATACAATTTTGTTCGTAAATCTCATTTTACAGGGGTCCAAAACCATATATTTCTTTTTTCCTTGAAGTATTGAACACACATATGAATTTGTGTTTAGGTCCGTATAATTATTTGGTATAGCTTCTTTTCATTTCTAAAAACCAGGGTTTCCCACCGGTGGTTAAACATCAAAACCTAATATAATAAGTTATGTTTTACTATTGTGAGGGAAATGACTAATAATACAAAAAAAAAGGTAAGATAATGGGGACGGGTGCAGCCACTGGTGTGAATGAGAAATTGAGAAGGTAGGGTACAGATGGGAGTTTAATGTGTATTTGTAAGCAATGATAAACCTTTGCTAACGAAAAACGATTCTGAAATTGATAATGATGCTTTGTCAACAATATATATGCTTTATTATATTATAGTAAAATAATTAAATAGGTTTAATGTATTTTCTTAATTAATATTTGTTTAATGTTGTATCAATTTCCAAGGTTTTTCTACGTTTTTCCCGATTTTCCCACGTTTTTTCCCAGTTGTTTTACATTTGCTGAGAAAACTCCGGAGAAAATCAAAAAACGATCTCTCTAAAGTACCTACTCAGTGAAATTTTCTTTTAGAAAAATTGCTGTCATTAAAAATTGAAGCAAAATTGCCGGTAGAAAAGTTGTCCATAGAAAAAAATATCGTAATACTATACAAATATATTTCGTATATTGTCCCGTTTTTCTTCCGTTTTTTTTTTTTCGGTTTTTCGCATTTGATGAGAAAACTTTTGAGAAAATGACCTCTGTAAAGTACCTTCCCATACCGATTTCTTTTCAGAAAAGTTGCAACACGTAAAAATCGAAGCCAGTCTTCTGGTAGAAAAGTTGTTCACAGAAAAAAAAATAAATATCTTTGTAAAACCATAAGCTTCTTCACTCTATTCAAAATCTATAAGAGCTGATACTGTTGATGGGTACTGATATGTTAGGTAGAAAGTTGGGAAGTCAGGATAGGTACATATAGTAAAAATAAACAATGGAAATAAGTATGGTAAGAGCTACTTGTAATGTTTTGTATATGTTTGGAAATGTGTTCTTCTTCAAAATTTTTTTGATAGTGTCTAATTCAAAGTAGGTTTTTAAATTTACAATTAATATTGAATTTTTAGCAACGAGCATCTACGCCTTTAAATCATCATGATTTACATTTAAAATTGACTAGGTTAGGAGTAGGACTCGGTATTGAAGATAATTTAAACGCATACAGTTATTGAATTAAATTAATTATTATGTAAAGTTATGTTGAGTATTATTTTGTGCTTATTGTTTTATTAAGAATTGAAGATTAAATTTATTATTATTGAAGAGAATTTTATTTTTGTGCGCACAGTTATTGAATGACGTAAGTTATTATTAAATATTGTATTGAGTTTAATTATAAAGATTAAAGCGCGTATGTATATTGAGTTTAACAGAAAAAGAAGATTTTTTTATTGTTCGTTATAAAAGCGCACGAGTATATATTAAGTATATATTATATAAGTATATTTTTGAATTATTGTGAATTATTTTATGTGAGGACAAGCTAAGAGTACCACAGGTTATCAAAATATTATATAAACATTGAAAATAATACCAAGGAATCTCGACCATCTCCCTTGGATTTAGATCCATTGTATAAAAATAAAAGTGACAGTGAAGGGACACTAGTAAGTATAGTTGAAGGTGCAAAAGAATTTAAAAACAAAAATAAAATAAATTCAATTAATAGTGCAAGTAGCATAGACACAGAGAAAGTGGAATAAAAAATTTAATAAATTTAATTGATAATAAAGAACTAATTTATAAACTAAAAACTAGAAAAGTAACAACAGTAATAGAATTAGAGAGAACTAGGAGTTTGTTAAATAAATTACAAGGAGAATTAGAAAAAACTACTCTAACTTCGCGAACAACCAAATATAAAACACCAGTATTTAAATTTTGCAAGGAAACCTAGACAAAAATTAAATATGACAAAAAGAAGGACCCTGGATGAGGCTCTTAAATTAATACCTGTTCAGAAATAAAAGGAATTTCCGGAAATATAAACGCGTGTGACGTAGCTATAGAAACAGTCGAACCCGAGTATTTACCTTTATTATTAAAATGTATAGCTGTATAGCTAGTATTTTATTAAAATGTATAACTGCTAAGCTTAAAGAAAAAGCTGAACATATTATCAATTATCGAAATATAGATTCGTGGGGAAATATAAGAAAATATCTGTTAGAAGCAGTAGAGACAAAATTTGCATTGTCCATTTTACAATTACAATTAAATCACGTAAAAATGTGTTCAGGTGAAGACGTAAATTTTTATTCATTTTGAGAAGATGGTATATATTATGAACTTTGTAATTTTAACACGATAGGCAAAGACAAAGATGAAACAAAATTAATTAGGGAACAATTTTTAGAACAATTATCAGCAGCATACATGAAAGGTTTGATAGGATTAATAAAATCCGTAGTTAAAGCACAAAACCCCGAAACGTTAGAACAGACCAAGCTAAAGACTAAAGCCGAAGAACTAGAACGCCAAGAAGATATAGAAGAACAACATTATTTTAATCAACCCAGAGAAAGCCCACAAGTTTCTGCAGCCATCATTCACGATGTGCAAACCAGGTGTATTCTAATTTCACAGAGTATAACAAGGTAATTATAACTACCTTGGAGTTACAATGGCTAGAGTATAGATAACCGGTAACGTGCATACCACAATTAAAAATTATCTGATTGCCCAACGGCCTATTTGATACACACGGACATATATAAAGAACTATGCACGCCTATACCATTAGTACAAAATTATTTCTCCACATATTGTCCTCACGGGGCTTTCTTTATGCACTCGTTCTATCTAGTGTTCAACTGAATTACTTAATTTTTACTAGTATTTCACCTATAAAAATACCTATAATGCATCTATGCTAATAGACATTAAATCAAGAGATTTTTGATTGAGATTATAAACCTCTTGACTTATGTGGCCATATTTGTAGCCTTCACATAAATTGTACAGATCTTTATTGGGGGAATAAAGAGCAAGATTTCTCCTATGAAATTCTTTAAAGAAATCAATTTTATTAACAACAATTTTATCATTGTTATGTAATGTGGCTACATAAGCATTAAACGAAGATAATTTTGTGTCATAAAATGATTCTAAATAAAATGTATTCAAACTTGATCGTCAGTAATGTAAAGGTAGTGCAGGTAAATCATTAAAAAAATGAGTCAATTCTTTATTTAGAATAATTTTTCTACCAACATTTTTATTTTTTTTTTCTTAATCAGGAGTAAAAATTTAAAATTCAGTTCCTTACTGACCATTCTTTAAGATTGAGTGCTTGCAGAAACGATATTTTGCAAACTTGTAAGGCCTAATTATTTATTTATAAAAAATATTTTATAGTACCAGAACGCCGAGAATTATTGGTACCAGTTTTGTTTACTGTAATAGGTTATGAATAGTTTGAAGATGACACATAATTTCTCCTTTCACTCTGTCATACTGTTCTAAAAAATTGAAAAAAGTAAATTTGTTGTCTTGAATAAAAAAACATTTTCTTGTATTTAAATTTTTTTTACAAAAAGTAGAATCACATCATTTACTTAATTGTCTTGGGGATTTACTTTTAGAAAACGAACATTTCCCCTTTTTATTAGTTTCAGACCTTATACTTTCGACCTTGCATTCTTAATACTTTATTTTTGTGTTTTAATCATTAATATTCATCATCTTTTTCATATTTCAATTTCATTTTTGCTTTTATCACATTTGTTAAACCATTATCACCAATTTCCATTTCTATAATTTAAATCATTATCATAACTATACATAAATAATAGGAAAGATTTGTATGTTATAATGAGTCAACCCAAAAACTACTGAACGATTTCAAAAATTATTTCACCATTAAAATGCTACCCTGAGTAACATAGGTAATATTTATTACTAGAAAAAATAAGTATCCTTACAAAAATTGCAAGAATTAGGTTTTTAGATATTTTTGGTAAGTGTTTATTTGTTTTTTTTTTTTTTGTTTATTCGTGGGTTACCTTGGTGATAAGGATGGTAATTTGGTTGTCATGGACAAGAAAAATATTATTATTATTATTTACACTATAGGATGGGCTACCTTGGTAACATGGATGAAGAAAAAAACACAAAACTTTGCGCTGTACTGGGCGGGTAAGTGAAAAATGAAAATACATAAAACGTCTTTGAATCATTTTTTTTTTTTTTTTTTTGGTACACTTATAACACTAGAGTATATTATTATGTGTGTGTCCTCATAATTTTAGCGTTATTTTAGTAAATATAATTTAATTTAATAACGTGTAATAATGTGCTGTGCGAGTATCTATGGTAAGGTTAAGATTACCCAACCTATTTCTTTTCGTACAGAAAATTGGCAACATTTGGTGTAAACACTAGGAGTAGGGCAGGTAGTAGATTATAAAATCAATACAGAGCATCGAGATTAGTGGGGAATGGTAGTTACGAGTTCTAGTCCAGTAGTAGGGGTAAGAGGGTATAAGCGTTACCATAGCAACCATTAGTCGTCATGCGCACTGCGCAGACCTGTGTTTAACTTCTGTTTAGGAACGGAATGTGTGTGCGCGTATAATGTGGCCCAGTTAGCAAATTCTTATTTAAGGAACAAGGATACATTTCGGCACCAAACATTACTACTCACCGACGTTTCGAATGAAAAAAACTCCGAAATTCTCACTGGCTTGATTTAGTTTTATCTAAAACTGTTGGCGAAGTTAATAAATAAAAAAAACAACTCTTGCTTCGTGGATACTGTCACCGGGAAGGTAAGCTAGAGCCAGAACGCAATGATCGGATAAATAACGCCATAAGACTTTTGTTTTTAATTTTAGTGATTTTTGTTCGTACTCGTCACGTCATCTAGTATGACAGTAGTATATATAGTATATACAGGAAATTAGACATAATGATTGTGCAAATATTCTTCTTATTGATCATCATCGTTATGCTCGTATATATGTTATTACAAGTATTAAGGTATGCAATGTATATGAGAAAAATTATTTAACACCTTGTTAACAATTGTTACTCGGTATTTTATTTTTATTTGACATCGAATAAATAACCTAAATTTTTGTTTATGATTTTAGAAATTTGTTAAGATAGGAACTCGTCACAATTTCAAATTGAAACTGTACAAAATTATTCTGCACCTAATTATCGGCGTATAATTCCTACAATTTGATCGTCACAGTGCTTGAATTATTAATAAGGTACGTAGTGTATATTCAAATTTTAATTATACTCCATGACAACTATTGCTGCTCAATATGTTATTGTTATAACTTATTTTATATTTTAATAATGAAGACCAAAGATTTAGAGGAAACCATTTAACTTTAGAATTTAAAATAATACAATAAAAACACTTTACTTTTAAAAAATGTCTTATGTGTGTATATACATAATCTTTCAGTTAAATATATTATAATGGAACATAATGTCTATCAAAATACATTTTAGATTCTGAGTGAGGCAAAGAATGTATTAGTTTTACTAAGATGCTTATTTGTTTTTTTCTATTTTTTTTTATACTGTGTACACAAATTCTACCAGAAATCTTGCTCAGATATAAACGCGTGCCAACATTTCTGAAAAGGAATGTTGTTCAGACCAGATGGTATTTTTGGGAGGTAATTTTTTGATTTTCCAAGTGGTTTTCTGTGAAAAATCATCAAACAAATCATTTGTGAAAAATTAGAATAAAACGTAAGAAAAACCGAAAATTTACAAATTTTTGTAAAAAAATATTGCTTTTATTATTTTTAATTTTGTTATATGTTATAATTCAGTTTAAAATATTCGAGACTTGAAATGTGAACAGAAAACTCATGTTCGCTTTTTCTAGAAATAGTAAAATTTTCGAAACATTTTTCCCATTTTTAAGCTATTTATAAACATTTTAATTTTGCGAGTTTTGTATGTAATTTTTATTCAGTAGGTCATCAAAATATATTAATATATCTGTTATGTCTTTAAAGTCCTTCATCATCAAGTTATCGCCATCACAAAATATGCAGCATGACCACTTTAACATCTTTTTTTTTTAAACAATTTTTAAAAAATAAAAATAAAATATATAATTAAAATAATTATACAAATAAAAAATTCATAAGTTTAATTTTAAAATTACAATTATAAAATATTTAATACATTTTTCGAAATACATAATTATCATATCTTATTGGTTTTTTAATAAATATAAATTTTTTTGAAATAAGACTGTTAGTAGCAAATTGTAATTTTAGATTCTGAGTGGAGTGAAGACAAGACGCTAATGGTTGTACCAAGATGTTTATTTTTCTTTTTCTATGGACAACTTTTTTACCAGTAGACTTGCTCCAAATTTTATTTGCAGCACGTTCTCTGAAAGAAAACCTGTGTGGGGATGTACTTAAAGAAAGTAGTTTTTCAATTATCTCAAAGGTTTACTCATCAAATGCGAAAAACCAAATAAAGGGGAAATTATATGAATTATAGTTAAACTTAATATAAATTTTTTGAGCTCTCTGTAATACTATGCATATAATTTCATCATGTTCCTCTTTAGAACTAGTACACACTAACCGGTCATCAAAATATATTAATACACCTGTTATATCTCTAATGTACCACATCATTAATTTTTGAAAAATTTAAGATGCCGTTAACAAACCAAATGGTAGACGTTTAAAACTGTAAGCTTTATAGGGACTACTAAAATTACATAATTTTACAGATTCTAAATATTATTCAAAATGGTAAAAACCATCTTTTAAATCGAATAAACTATTTGGACATAACGATTGAGCAAATAATCTTCATATTGATAATTTCCATCTTGTTAATAAAGTTGTTATTACTCTCAATAAGGTAAGCTATGTATATTAGAAAAAAATCATTTAATACCATGTTAACTATTGTTGCTCGGTATTCTATTTTTATTTGACATTGAATAAATAACCTGACTTTTTGTTTATGATTTTAGGGGTTTGTTCTGATAGAAACTCACAACAATTCCAAAATGGATTGGTACAAAGTGCTTCTATACATAGTCAATGCCATATTATTCTTCATGTCAGTCATCGAAATGGTTTCAGTATTCGTAAGGTATGTAGTGTATATTTAAATTTGATTTAAACTCCATAACAACTATTGCTGCTCAGTATGTTATTGTTATAACTTATTTTATATTTTAAGAAGGAAGACCAGAGACTTAGAGGAAACCATTTAACTTTAGAATTTAAAATAATACAATAAAAACACTTTACTTTTAAAAAATGTCTCATGTGTGTCTAACATGATCTTTCAATGAAATGTATTAACTCTACTATTAAAGAAAATAACTATATGTTATTTTTTTAGAAAACTTTCAAAAATACGAAAACACAAACAAGAAACGTGTGACTTCTGCACTTGCTGGTATATATTCGTACAAATCGTACAATTGAATTTCGACAACATATTGTATAATATAATAAGGATATAATTACTTGTTTTGTTGTTTTAAAACATACATCATTTACGTAATAATAATATTTAATCCCACAAAAACGGATTTATACCAATTAACAAGTCTTTGCCTTCTACGCTATCTGCGTCACGAACATTTCTAAGACAAAAGATACCATACATTTTTTATTAAATATATTTGATAATTCAACCAGCGCTTTGGGGATGATTAAATAACTTTTGTTCATTGGCAACATAGCCAGGCCATGGCAGTCCTGCGATCTTTTGTTTTTTATCATTAATAAAATATACTGTATACTGTATATCTGTATACATTGTTCAATGTAGATACATCTGAACATATTAATAATATTGTTACATAAATAATTGTTATTTTGACATCTTGTTGAATAGTAAAATAGCTAGGTAGGTATGTAAAATGTTTGTAAATTCGTATTTTTACGATCAGAATAGGTATGAATTTGAGCATTTAACATCTAATAGTTAACAAAATTGTACAAAACACTATGCACTTCATAATCAAAGTATAATAATTAAATTTTAATTAATTTTATTTATTTACTTCAAGTTCTGAGTAACTTCAGAAAGAGTAACGTCGTAACAATTAATCAATAAATACGTATAATATAATACTAATTCATAATTTTTTTTGAGGGGATGGCCTGGGGGGTTTAACACCTCCCCCCCCGTTAGTACGTCACTGTTTACGTGTAAGTCTGGGATTAGGTCTTCCGGAAACGACCAGGATATTATGCTGTACATCTATTTTTAGACAATTATAAAATATAAGCAAGATTTATTGATGTGACATTTAGTGGTTAGGTAGTAGGGAGCAGCCATCATTACCTATATTTATAAGGCTGTCGTTTTTTATTATTTTTTTTACATGATATTGTATCATTTTATATATTTTATTTTTGTCTATCTTTGGTGTACCTACTCGTATTTTCCTGTGCTCCTGGCGTTTTATTACTCATAATTTTTTTTGTGTCTAGAATCGGTTTTTATGGTGATATTGATTTAGCACCTCTTCGCCGACGTCGCGATCTCCGTGAAAATCAAGACTAGCCGTTTCAACACTTACCGAACGGTTTATTCAGACAACGATTTCGTAATTGATGATTGGATATAGGTATGCTGATATTTATGTATATATTATTTAGACAATTATATAACAAAAAAATAATCGTTAAGTTCATTAATGTTTGTAAGCTTCATAGGAGCTACTAAAAATAAATAATTTTACAGATTCCAAATTTAATTCACAGTTGCAAAAACCATCTTTTAAGTAGAATAAACTATAAATACTTTTATTACTAATGTAACGTGTTAACGTAAAGTATATGACTTAGGAGAAAACTTGAAATAAATTGAACTCCAACTCGAGTTATAATATTAGATTAATATTTTCACATAAACAAAATACAATTTCAATTATAATAATTTTCATAAAATATGCTAAGTCCAATTAAATTAAAAGTCTAAAATTAATTCATAAATAATACAAGTACAAAATCATAAAATAGAGTGACGTGATATAGCTCACAATATAATATACATATATAAAATCTATATTAAAACTTTTAAACAACCATTTATTACTAAACTTAAACATGTTTTTTTAACATACAGAAATATTTAAAATTAACTTATTAATGAATCATAAAATTTGTGTATGGCAGTGAAATAATCAAAGCTGGTTATAATTTAAAGGAGTTATAGAATTATATTAAAGAAGCATCTAATACTAAAATTAATAACCAAACAGATATAAATAAAAATTTTGATGAATATGGGAGTATAGTTTCTGATAAAGAGAAATAGCCAATATTTTTAACACATTTTTTTTTTTTGACGTAAGAAGTGGTATTTCTAATAATATCAAAAATCATAAATATTAAATTTGTGACTGGAAAGAACTCAATAAAAAATGTTATATTGATAATTCTATTTTTTCAGACTAATTGAAGCTGTTGAGCTGACAAACTTTATTGATAAAACTAAAGATCGTTCTTGATTTTATGAAGAATCTTTGTCAAATAAGCTATTAAAAAAAACATTCAATAATATATCCTTACCATTAGCTATGATATTCAACAAATGTTTATCTTCAGGAGAATTTCCATTATACCACTTCATAAAAATGCTTATGATAGTAACGATAGTAAAAATGTTAGACCTTAACATCAACTATTTCTAAATTACTTGAAAAATGTTTTAAAATAAAATTTATAGAGTTTTTGAATAAGAATACATTTTTTAGTAATAATCAATTTGGGTTTAGAAACAATTTATCCACAAATGATGCTCTGCATTACTTAACTAGAATAATTTATGATAAATTAGATTTGAAAAATCAAATACTATGTGTTTTTTTGGATCTTAAAGCGTTCAATTCTGTGGACCATATTATTTTGAAAAAATTAAAATATTGTGGCATAAGAGATAATAAGTTAAATTTATTTAGTTTATACCTCAGTAATAGATATCAAAGAGTAAAGGTCAGGAATACTCTTAGTAATGAATTATCTGTGAATTATTCAGTCCCCCAAGGAAGTCATGGGTCCCTTACTATTTATCATTTATTTAAATGGTCTCTTAAACCAAAATATTGATTGTGGGGATTATTTTGTTTCGCTGATGACACTGCTATTTTATTTAATAGTGACTGTCGTAGTGACACTGAAAGCATTGTAAGCATGGGATTGGATAAAATTAAAACCAGGTTTGATAAACATTGCTAAAAACTAATTATGATAAATCTAAATTTTTGCAATTTTATATCTAAAATAATAATACACGTTCTGAAATTTAAAAGTTTATTTTACATATTGTAAACTCAGAGTAAAAATAAAAATTTGTTGGAGGGATTGCCCAGCTATTTTTAAGACATATAAAATAAAATATTTAGGTCTTTGTATTATAATTATCTAAAGTGGAATGTATATATTGATAAGCTAGCAATTAATTTAAGAAAATATTTATATGTATTTAAAAATCTAAAAAAATATATTGAATAATAAACTTAAACATATAGTATATTATGCTCTAGTGCATTCTATACTTACATACGGAATTGCTTTTTTGAGTTCAACATATCAAACCCATGTCAATAAACTAGAAACCTCCTTAAATTCTTATCTTATATATTAAAATATATATTCAATAAGTCAAGACTCTTCCCTATAAATGCCTTATATGGTGAATTAAAAATATTTAGCACTAATTGGCTTCATTTATTGTATGTTTGTAACTTATTATTTAAGCATAAACATAATATATTTCTATCTATACATTCTCATTCCACTTGTTATAGACTGAAAACTAATTTATCTATTCCTAGATTAAGAAACTATTATGCACAATCAGGACCTGATTAAGTATTTTAAATTTCTATGTCATAAGTTATCTATGTACATGATATATTTACTGTCATTTTTTATTATTGTATAACACAGATATAATAATATCTATAAATTCATAACTTTATAATAAACTTCTTTGTAAACTAATTCTTTAGTTAATTTTTTTTAAAAAAAAGCCTAAGCTTTACTTTACATCTTAACTGCGCAACGAGTACTCCTTCTATAACATAAACTTAAAGTATATTTTAAATTTTTGTGCTGTTGTCATTAGATATATAACCACAACTAATCCTCCTTCTCATAATTATAATACTAGTCATAAACAAAATGTAAACACCTACATTCCTTTTGTTAGAACTGTTTTTGCACAATCTGGGCCTTCTTTAGTTTTCACTCGTTTTTGTTTAATTAATAATATTAATTTTCATAACTTTTCCAATTTCAAATAATTCAAAAAATATCTTTGTTCAATTAGTTTTAATGATCTTATAATTTAATAAATGAAAAAAAATTGACTGGAAATTTTTTTTTAAAGATTATAATAAAAATTAATAAAAAAAAAAAAAAAAATGGTATTATACCTTGTTATTTTTCTACTATTTCTCTTTAATATTACAATATACACTTTTAATTTATATATATATATATATATATATACATGTAGGTACTCACCATTATATTTAACTTAGTTTGATTCTTTTAACTATCTTAAGAACTCACAAGCTTGCTTTTTGATGGCGTGTCATACTTGTAAATTCATCAATTAATTATTATGTTTGCTCTTTTGTATAACAATAAACTACTTATTAGTATTTAATTATTTTACTAATGATATAAGTATTGTTGATAAAGTATCACTATCAACTGAACTCTAAATCGTTTTTTTTGTAAGGAATGGTTTATCTTTGCTTACGGGTATACATTAAATTACTTATAACAGTGGTTACACATATTCCCATTCCTAATCCTAAAACGTTTTTATTGAGATTGAACTTAATCTTTATTTTACTACCTCTCTCTAGTGTTTTGCATTTAATTTTATCATGTTCCTCTTTAGAACTAGCACACACTAACAGGTCATCAAAATATATTAATACACCTGTTATATCCCTAATTACCACATCATTAATTTTTGAAAAATTTCAGGTGCCATTAACAAACCAAATGGTAAACGTTTAAAACTGTAAGCTCTATAGGGGCTACTAAAATTACATAATTTTACAGATTCTAAATATTATTCATAATGGTAAAAACCATCTTTTAAATCGAATAAACTATTTGGACATAATGATTGTGCAAATAATCTTCATATTGATAATTTCCATCTTGTTAATAAAGTTGTTATTACTCTCAATAAGGTAAGCTATGTATATTAGAAAAAAATCATTTAATACCATGTTAACTATTGTTGCTCGGTATTCTATTTTTATTTGACATCGAATAAATAACCTGACTTTTTGTTTATGATTTTAGGAGTTTGTTCTGATAGAAACTCACAACAATTCCAAAATGGGGTGGTACAAAATGATTATGCACCTAATCAATGGCATATTAATGTTTATATTAATCACCACAATGATTTTATTATTCGTAAGGTACGTAGTGTATATTTAAATTTGAATTAAACCCCATAACAACTATTGCTGCTCAGTATGTTATTGTTATAACTTATTTTATATTTTAAGAAGGAAGACCAGAGACTTAGAGGAAACCATTTAACTTTAGAATTTAAAATAATACAATAAAAACACTTTACTTTTAAAAAATGTCTCATGTGTGTCTAACATGATCTTTCAATGAAATGTATTAACTCTACTATTAAAGAAAATAACTATATGTTATTNTGTTGTTTTAAAACATACATCATTTACGTAATAATAATATTTAATCCCACAAAAACGGATTTATACCAATTAACAAGTCTTTGCCTTCTACGCTATCTGCGTCACGAACATTTCTAAGACAAAAGATATCATACATTTTTTATTAAATATATTTGATAATTCAACCAGCGCTTTGGGGATGATTAAATAACTTTTGTTCATTGGCAACATAGCCAGGCCATGGCAGTCCTGCGATATTTTTTTTTTTATCATTAATAAAATATACTGTATACTGTATATCTGTATACATTGTTCAATGTAGATACATCTGAACATATTAATAATATTGTTACATAAATAATTGTTATTTTGACATCTTGTTGAATAGTAAAATAGCTAGGTAGGTATGTAAAATGTTTGTAAATTCGTATTTTTACGATCAGAATAGGTATGCATTTAGGCACCTTGAGTTACCTATATTATATTATATTACCTATATTTTTAAGGCTGTCGTTTTTTATTATTTTTTTTACATGATATTGTATCATTTTATACATTTTATTTTTGTCTATCTTTGGTGTACCTACTCGTATTTGCCTGTGCTCCTGGCGTTTTATTAATCATGATTTTTTTTGTGTCTAGAGTCGTTTTTTTTGGTGAAAATCATTTTATAGTTTTTCGCCGACGTCGCGATCTCCGTGAAAATCAAGACCAGCCGTTTCAACGCTTACCGAACGGTTTATTAAGACAACGATTTCGTAATTGATGATTGGATATAGGTATGCTGATATTTATGTACATATTATTTAGACAATTATATAACAGAAAAATAATCGATAAGTTCATTAATGTTTGTATTTTTTTAAAGTTGAACTTTGTCCAGAGTCACCTGCAAAATGACATTATTCGGACACTTATTAGTTTTAACTGAAAATCGATGTTAAAAGTATTTACTTATGCTAACTTCGGAAACTTTTTAATGTTTAAAAAAAAAATAATTTTTAACGAAATTTAAAAACCGAACATTTTTCTACAAAATAATTATATCGTAGGTATAATGTACCTATCTACAAATTCTTTTACCCACGCTTCATTATTATCAAATTCAAATACAGATGGAATTTTGATTAAATGGATAGATACTTGTTTTACTAAATTTATTTTTTATTATCGTGTATTGTTTCATTTACGTTTTTTTTTATGTTTTTCTAAGTAATTCTAAGATTTCCGGAAGATATTTTTGTTATACTTTGACAACAACATTAAAATCCAATAAGTACATTCTTCGCTACACCCGAAATCTAAAATTTAAATTAAATTTATCATTTTCAATTTTGATTCTAAAAATATATTTTTTTATTATATCTTTGCGAATTGATTATTTCCAATTAGTTTCCCGTAATTCTATCTCACCCTTGAGAGAATATTTATTGAAATTTATAAATGAAAAATGTTTCACTCTTGTTTCAAAGTACTTCCAAGGTCCGATATCATATCCTTTTGGCATTTGGAACCAGTTGCATTTGTACTTATTTGGATATTATGGATATTTTATATAACAAAAAAGAAAAACACACGGTTTATGAGATGGGGGGCAATCGCCCCCTTCCCATAGGGACGCGCCAAATTTATCGGGGTCCCATATACGCACTGTATATGTTCACACTAAGAAGTACCATTAAATATTTCAGTTTGATGACCTAGTATTGAAATCGAATTTTTAGAGAATGATAGGGTGTACCTAAATATACATTTTCAGGCAAATTTCAAATTTTTAACCCTTTCGGTACGCGCGTGCGCAATACAACTTACTTTTTTAAAACGGCAACACCATTTTTTTTTTCTATGGATTCGGATAGAGTATTTTTTCTTCAAACAATTTTTGTATAAACAGTTTTTTCTAATTAGAAAAATTGGCAAAGTTATAGTATGTTGACATTTAATATTTACGAATAATCTGTTTTTGACGAAATTTTAACTATGTTCAACTTATACTCGAGAATCGAATTGATATCTCCGATATTTTTAAATACCTGTTTGTAGATAGATATAAGACACAATAAATCGTAAATATAAAATTTCAACGTACTATAACTTTGCCAATTTTGTAATTAGAAAAAAATGTTTATACAAAAATTGTTTTCAATAAAAAAACCTCTGTTTGGATCTGTAGAAATAAAAATGATATTGCCATATGAAAAAAGTAAGTTGTATTACGCATACACGTAAAAAAAAGTGTTAAAAATTTGAAATTTGTCTGAAAATGTATATTTGAGTACTCCCTATCATTCCCTAAAAAATCGATTTCAATACTAGGTCATCAAACTGAAATATTTAGTGATACCTCTTTGCGTGAACTTAGCACTGTATATTTGTATAAATATATCTATATTTGTTTATTTTATTTTCTAACGGATTTACTTTATTTTCATATAATTTTATAAACTTTAAGGTCTTATTAGAAATCTAAATTTGTACCTATATGTAAACTAATAAGATATGATTTGTATTTTTATATTAGACACAAAATGAGTACTCACTTAACAAATACCTACAAACAATATTTTATTAATTAATATTTTTATTTTATTAAGGACAATAAACATAAATGTTATATGATAAGTAGACTTTTACTTTAAATAAAAAATAAACATAAATGATTGTAACACAACTGGATAATATATAATATTGCATAAATATTTTTCTCGTGATTTTTTTTTTTTTTTTATGCAAACAGGTTAATTGTCTCATTGAGGCTCAACGAAGGCTCAAATACTACGTTCGATGCCGATAAAACATGTTTGAGTGTTTCGTCAATCGTCCCGTTCGGATGGTCGACGTCTTTATCTCCCATCACCGTTACTCGTGATGGAGACTTTTTGACGCTCGACACGCGGGATTCATCGCCGCAAAATCAGTCGACGGGAAATTCGTCGCCGCTCGCGGCCACGAACATTTCCACCCGTTTCTGGGCCACGAAATCTCCCACGGTGGTTGCCGTGCGTTATCAGAGCGAGTTTCGGTCATCCGCAGTTGACCGTTACCGAATACCAAGAAGGGCCTATAGCGATTTTTTGGCGCTCTCAACCTCTACCACCGTTTCATTCCGAAAGCCGCCGTGCTCCAAGCTCCATTTTACGACCATTCCGTTTCTATCAAAAGGACGGACGGTCCGTCGGTTTGGTCGCTAAAAACCTAGTCGCTTTCATATTCGCTCGGGAGGCACTTCGCTGATACGGTCTCGCTCGTCCACCCGAAACCGGACGCTAGTATCACGATTGGCGCAGATCTGGAGCAAGCAGCAAAAAACGGTTCCTAGAAACCGTTAAAAGTCTTTTCTCAAATCGGTCAAGTCCCGCTACGTTTGACCTGACATGAATCGACAGATTCGCGCGTGGTCCAAATGTTGCGTCGCTTGCCAAAGGAACAAGGTGCACAAGCGCACGGTATCGTCGTTGGTCCCTTTCGCATCACCTGAGAGGCATTTCGGTCACATTCATGTCGACATCAAGGGCCCCCTTCCACCGACTTGCATTGATTGTTTCACTCGGTGGCCAGAGACGTGGCCTGTCTCCAATATTTCCGCGCATACCGTCGCAGAACAGCTCGTGGTGCATTGGGTCTCCAGGTTCGGTGTTCCCGACACGGTAACATCGAACCAAAGTAGACAGTTTGAGTCCGGCTTTTTTTTTTTCGATCATTGACTATACCTATAAATATATAATAATATTAGGCATATGAATAAAATTAAAGTGTGTGTGATTTGAGATTTCAGAACAGCTTTAATTTTATAAATTAATTTAAGATTTTAGAATAGCTTTCATTTTATAAATTCATAATATTATAATTATTTGCACAGTATAAAAACAAATACGGCTATTTTATACAACTTTTATGTGTGTCTGTATGTTTTTCCGGGTTAATAATATTATAATATTAGGCATATGAATAAAATTAATGTGTGTGATTTGAGATTTCAGAACAGCTTTAATTTTATAAATTAATTTAAGATTTTAGAATAGCTTTCATTTTATAAATTGATAATATTATAGTTATCTGCACAGTATAAAAACAAATACGGCTATTTTATACAACTTTTATGTGTGTCTGTATGTTTTTCCGGGTTAATTTCTTGACCACTGGAACAATTTCGATGATAATTGTATACTAAATTTTAATAAGAGATAAGTGTATTTATATCTTAAAAATATTATTTATTTAGACAACCTCACTCTGGTTATGATCATATTCTGCAAACATTAAATTTACAGACTTTAAAATTCAGAAGACAATATTTGTATGCCATGTTTCTTAGTAAATTATTGAATATTGATGATTCCTTTATATTAAGTCTCATCTCCTTTAAAATCAAACAACATAATATCCGAAACGAGGGTCTCTTTTTCATTCCACATTACTTTAAAATATCATATATGTCTTACTGTCCTATTGATATAATATTATCAGCAGGAAATACATTAAGTAATAGTAACTTATTTCCTCAGCTTTATATTTAACAATTATTATTGTATCCATTCATATTTAATAGCATACACTGTATTTTGAATATGTATTATATATTTAATGTATATTTTAATGTTTAAAGTCATTGTAAATTGGACTCACACCTGTCATTTTACTTAAATACATTTTAAAAAATCGCCAATGAAGAGTTTTAAATTTTATTTTATAAATCTAAAAACATATTACACATAGATAATAATTTTAAGAGATATCTTAGAGTAAATAATAATTTTAATATAATCTTATTTATCATTATCCAATTTTTTTATTTCTGAATTGTAAACTTCAGAAATTACTTTGTATTTCATCATTATTTATGTATTGTCTATGTTTCTATCATTGTAAATGTATATGGTGTGTAAATTCTAAGCAACTAACTGTGTACTTTTAACTCAAGCTTTGCTTAAAGAAGATAGATAAACCAATTTGTTTATAGAATACTTGTGTACTTATTTATAATAAAACAATTTTGTTAGTCAGATTAAGCAGAAAGTGTTTGTAACTTGTAAATCTAGTATAATTGGTTCTAGTTGGTTAAGAAAAGGAATGTTTGATTGAAATTCACTGTTGTTTTAAGTTATGTCATTACTTAAACATTGTCTCCAGTTTTTAAATTTTCTCGATAACTACAACTTTATTTGTATGAGTATTAGGGTATTTTATAAATATTATTAAATTAATTTTCAACCTAAGTGCTTTAAAAGACATACCTATAAGTTTTTTGCTATGAAATCATGTTATAATCAATAATAGCCGTTTTCACCAACGTAAAAAAAGACGTTTATTTGATTCTTAAACTGAGTTTATAGCTAATAACTGACCACAATTGGTTGATTGTTTTATAAACTCAGTTTAAAAATCAACGTTTACGTTGGTGAGAACGGGCCTTAATCACAAATTATTCTTAATCAATTCAATATTATCTACAAAAAAATAGTACCCATTGAATTGAATTTTTAATTACCTTTTTTAAATGTAAATAGAAGTTTCATTTAAGTATGGAATACATAGACATAAAATATATACAATGGTGTAGCATGATATAGTCAATTGTAAAAGCAATCATCAAAAATGATATACCTACTTGTACCTCCATCTATGTTTACCATCTCTATAGAGCCGCTTAATTAATTAACTGTAGCTTCTAAATAAACATTATAGAATAATAATAATACTATGAACTTTGTGTTTATTTAAATACATTTTGGTTTTAAAATTGTTGATTTCCTTCAACCCAATAAGATATTACACTTTTAAGTTTTGATCGATGTAAAGTAGAAGCGTGTTAATGGTGCACCACTTCTCTCCTCCTATCTAAAATAAAATGTGGAATATCTCGCCTACTGGTTGACTGAAACTAAAAATTTTTAACATTAAAATTTATTCAATCTAACACTGCATGTATTTAGCAAGTTTTAATTAAAGATTCTCATTTGAATTTCAATAGTTGATTCCCAAAACCACCAAAAGAGAAATTAAAAAAAACAAAATGTATACATTATTTTATATGTTTTATACATTGAAATAATTTACTATACCTATTTCTCTATTTTTAATATTTACGAGATGAAATTTCTGTATCATAAATTTTAAATCACTATGTTAATAATATGTTATTGATAATAATTTTTAAAAAATAAAGATAAAATTATATCCGCATAAAAGTAAACATGACCATATTTATTTAGTTCTTACAATACAATTGTTGAATTGAAGTTGTAACTAAATATATCATTGAATTAGATTTGTATTTTTAACTAAAGTGGTAGGTATAGTAGGTATTTATAACTATACTCCTAGAAAATTGACTTAATGTATTAACCTGAATATACTTGATTAAAGTAGGTAACCATTTAAATAATTGGGTTAAACATTAATTTGTTTTAAAAATGCCAAGGTGTCGATTTTGTTTCTATTAATATTTGGCCACTAATAAAGTAAGTCATTTTTTTATATCTTAAGTATTTTTCATAATAATTAGGAAAAATCAAAAAGGACGAAATACACATATGATTTTTTCAAATTACGGCCAAACGATTTCATTTTTTTAAATTTTTTCAACAAAAAATACTACTTTTGAAGTAATTATTAAGTATTAGTGTATTACAACTAAGAAATATATAAATTATCGGCTAATCACTACTGAAAAAATATTATGAATCATAATTAACTCCAATATAATTTATAATAAAAGCAAAATTTTTCATCAATCTGAAGGGTAAAATATAAGCAATTTATTTTCAATCTGGGGGCACTAATAAGACATTTTTCGCAACTATTTATTCAGTGTCCCGTATAATTGTTTATAGTATTTGCTAGCAAGTAGCAATCACGGCTCAAGACACAACTTTGGTCACTTTCGATAATGTAGAAAGCAAACCAACAAATGCACTAAAAGTAATGACCAACTATTATGAATTTATGACAGTATTTAATTAAAATCTAACCCAAACAAAATGAATTGCTAAATTATTTCAACTTATACGAAACCTTGACGACGTGATGCTAAGAAATGTTTTAATATAAGTTTAAGTAATAAGAAGGGCTAGAAAAAATATTGTAGAACACTGACCACCCCGTGTATCTAAGCGTCACCTTAGATAGAACGCTGATATTTAAAGATCATTCTTTCAAGACTAAAATCAAAATACAAGTTCGAAATAACCTACTTATAAAAATTGTATAGAAAACTCAATGAGGAACACCGCCCCACGCTGTGTAAGTACGATAGTCAGGTTGGCCTTGTGTTTCTCTGATATGTATACTACCAGACCATAACTTAACATAGACTGTGTTAAAGCCACAGGCCCATAGGCGCCAAGTACATGGATGCTTGAGCACCCATTCAAAATATTCAATAGGTGAGAATAGACGAAAAATAACTGTATATAAAAATGGCAATTGTAATCGTAAACATAATATAAAAATCAAGAGAGGTCAGAAAATGATGCCAAAGCAAGTGGTTTTCTCAAACAATTGCTCAAATATGAATTTTTATTTTATACTTAAGTAATGATTAATATTTTTGAGTGTTAAGCTTCTCGATGCAGAAGTCCTAAAGATATCATTCAAATTCCGTAAAGTAAAAATTAAAATTAGACAAATAATTGCAGCAATTTAACAGCAAAGAGAAAGTAGTTAAAGACAAATTTAAAATGATATATTATGAAATAATAGATGCTACTGTATCAGCACTTCTGAATGGTAGATTTCAACAAAATGTAATCGATAATTTATGTTCATTAGAGAAATTTGTAATCGGTGAAGACAAACATATCACCAAAATAAATGTCATTGAATTTTATGGAAGTGATTGAACAGAAATAAAATGATATTACACCGAGATATGTTCTTAGATATTGCAAAAATCTAGGGATATATCTATAAAAATACGCCATTGATTTCATAAAATCTGATAATTTGTGTGATATGTTATTAGAATTTTCCAAACTCCTACAAATTATCTAAATTATTCCAGTTTCATATTGCACTACAGAAAGGTCATTCTCAGTATTAAGGAGGTTGAAGACATTTTTGAGATCAACAATGACACAGAATTGTCTGATATAGCTATTCTTTATATCTATCGAAACAAAGATGTGGATATAGAAAAAGTCGCTAATACTTTTATTAATAAAGCCAAAGTTCGTCAAAACACATTTGCATT